AGCCCTAGCCTCCATTTTAGATCCTAGCCAAAGCTTTTAATTGTTCCAGCCAAAGCCTACATTGGGTCCTAGCCAAAATAATGGGTCCCAGCCAAAGCATCAAATTGGTCTCAGCAAAAGCTTCCAATGAGTTTCTGACAGCCAAAGCTATATAGTGATTAGAACACATAAAAATTCTAAAGTAGTAAGATTGTTGTTTGATATAGGTCCAGTGACAAATATTTCATGCTAACTGTTGAATGAAATTTAAGAAATCCAAACTGATCCCAGATTGATAAATAAAGTCTCACAATTTTTAGATAAAAATTGCAGAAGGATGACCCAAGAATTGTTTTGACTGCTACTTTAAATGGTATGGTCAGCAATTCAGCTAATTTACACTAATGATATAATTGTACTTGTAGTGGGGCTTCTACTTTTTATACGACCGCAAAAATTAAAAATTTTTTGGTGGTATATTGGTATCACGTTGTCGTCCGTAGACAGATGGTTTCCGGATAATAACTTAAGTATAAGTAAACAGAAATCAATAAAATTTTAACACAAGGTTTATAACCACTAAAGGAAGGTTGGGATAGATTTTGGGGGTTGTGGTCCCAACTGTTTAGGAATTAGGGGCAAAAAAAGGGGCCCAAATAAGCATTTTTGTAGTTTCCAGACAATAACTTGTGTTAAAGTGTATGGATCTCTCTGAAATTATACCACAAGTTTCCATACAACAAAGGGATGGTTAGGATTGATTATGGGGGGGGGGGGGGGGTATGGCTCAAACCATTTAGGAATTAGAGGCAAAAAAGGGGGAAAAACAAGTTTTTTTCTGGTGAAAGGACAATTAAGACAATTTAAAGCAGTCTAAGGGAGGTAATCCAATCCCAATTTATGTTTGATTACCTCCCTTACACTGCTTGTAAATTATGTATTAAGAAAGAGGTGATTAGCTTTCAATTTATTTTTAAAAGTTACTATTAATTAATATTTATTTTAGCCATGACTATGTATGTCATTTTATATTTTAAGACTTGTATGATGTATTTAAAAGGGTAATTATGGTTGCAAATTTTATTCAAATTTGAATTGAGACTATGTCTATATCTTGAGGGAATGATTTATTTTTAGAATAAGGGAAAGGGGGAGGTGAAAAAAAAGGGGGGAGGGGGGTAAATAAGAATTTGGGAGGACTATTTTTTCTCATTTCAGATTTCAGAAATTAAAAAGAAAATTTCTTCAAATATTTTTTTTGGGGGTTAATATTCAACAGGATAGTGTATTGCACAAAAGCAAAAAAATGGGGTCAATTTTATTTAGGGGGGGAGGGGTCAATTCGCAACAGCATAGTGTATTGCACAAAAGCAAAAAATTGAATATAAATTCAAATCATATAACCAATTTTTATACGACCGCAAAAAATTTTTTGTGGTCGTATATTGGTATAACGTTGGCGTCATCGTCGTCCGAAGACACATTAGTTTTCGCACTCTAACTTTAGTTTAAGTAAATGGATCTCAATGATATTTTACCATAAGGTTCAATACCACAAAAGGAAGGTGGGGATTGATTTTGGGGGTTATGGTACCAACAGTTATGGAATTAGGGGCCAGAAATAAGCATTTTTGTAACTTCCAGACATAACTTGTGTGTAAGTGTATGGATCTCTCTGACATTGTACCACAAGGTTCCATATCACAAAGGGAATGCTGGGATTGATTTTGGGGGTAATTACCTCCAAATTTTAGGAATTAGGGGCAAAAAAGGGGCAAAAGACAAGCATTTTTCTAGTTTCATGACAATAACTTGTGTGTAAGTTTATGGATCTCTCTGACATTGTATCGCAAGGTTCCATATCACAAAGGAATGCTGGGATTGATTTTGGGGGTAATTGCCTCCAAATTTTAGGAATAAGGGGGCCAAAAAGGGGCAAAAAACAAGCATTCTTCTAGTTTCATGACAATAACTTGTGTGTAAGTGTATGGATCTTTATGAAATTGTACTACAAGGTTCCATATCACAAAGGGAAAGCTGGAATTGAGTTTGGGGGTAATTGTCCAAAAATTTTAGGAAAAAGGGGCCAAAAAGGGGCCAAAAATAAGCATTTTTCTAGTTTCCAGACAATAACTTGTGTTCAAGTGTATGGACCTCTCTGAAATTGTACTGCAAGGTACCATACCACAAAGGGAAGGCTGGAATTGATTTTGGGGGTAATTCCCTCAAAATTTTAGTAATTAGGGGCCATAAAAGGGCAAAAAAACAAGCATTTTTCTAGTTTCAGGACAATAACTTGTGTGTAAGTGTATGGATCTTTATGAAACTGTACTGCAAGGTTCCATATCACAAAGGGAAAGCTGGGTTTGAGTTTGGGGGTAATTGCCCTAAACGTTTAGGAATTTGGGGCAAAAAAGGGGCAAAAAAACAAGCATTTTTCTAGTTTCCAGACAATAACTTGTGTTCAAGTGTATGGATCTCTCTGAAATTGTACTGCAAGGTACCATACCACAAAGGGAAGGCTGGGATTGAGTTTGTGGGTGATGAATCATAAGGGGTTCAAAAAATTTGGGGGGGGATTTTTTTTTCCTTTTTTTTCTTTAAAATTTTCCATTTTAAATTGGTTATTTCTGATTTATATATAAAAGCAAATAATAATGATATGGTTTGAATAGGTAAATTAAAATTTTTTAAGTTCTTAGACCACTTTCATTCTGTGTCAGAAACCCATGCTGTGTCAAATATTTAAATACAATCCAAATTCAGTGCTGTATCAAGCTTGAATGTTGTGTCCATACTTGCCCCAACTGTTCAGGGTTCGACCTCTGCGGTCGTATCAAGCTGCGCCCCAGCGGAGCATTTTATTAAGTTCTGTGACTACAGTTATTCTGTGGCAGAAACCTATTATGTGTCAAATATTTAATTACAATCCAAATTCAAACCTGTATCAAGCATGAATATTGTGTCCATTTTGGCCCCAACTTTTCAGGGTTGGACATCTGCGGTCGTATCCAGCTGCGCTCAGAGAAGCAATTTATTTTTAAATTACAAGAAACAAGAAATTAATTTAGAAAAGAATCTAGACGATAGGACAGAAGACAAAACATGTATATGTGATTGAGAAGGTTCAAGGGACATTAGTTACATGTACTGATTAATGGGGAAAATATGAATAACAAGAAGAAGAAAACAAGGCAAAATTTTGATAGAAGAGAAATGGGAGGAAGATAATTTTATCCCCCTTTTTCCTTATTCAAACATGGCAAGGAAATTCATATCACCATTTCATGACTGTCCACTTCAAAAGTATCAACAAGTTATTGACTCGGGGTTTTCTCCCTTTATAATATCAATATTGACCGATTTCATAGGAGAGATTTTATATTGATTTCAGTATTTTAATAGTCAGACCTGATCTAGATAGAGTATTGTAAGGGTGTGTTTTATAAACTTAGTCATGAAAGATAATTTTTATCAGTTGTTATCTGGCATTGTATTGATCAAAACTTTACAAATATCATGGTCAGATAATATTATCTAATGTCTGGTAATCATTATACATGTAATCCTAATGGCTTACTTTTTGAACGCATATATAGTTTATAATGTTGATAAGTGAATTGTATATATAATGTTGGTACTTAAGTTAAAAATGTATTTGAATTGATGAATGCGCATTTCTTTAACAAGTTATTTATTGAATATTCACATCAGAAAATAAAAAAAAAAAGAAATTGTTTACTTTCCTTGGTCATTGAATTAAATATAATCAATGGTGATTTTTAACTACATAAAGAGTTGAGAGATTAATGTAACTCTGCAGATGGTGCCACAAATTTAAATGGAATAACAGTTAAATCAATCTAATTAAAATTAAATTAAAATTAAATCTCTGTACTCCTCATTTTTTTATGGTTGGTTGCTCCAAGATTTATTTTTATAATTAGATTGCAGTTAAATTGACACATGTTCACTTCATCTGGGACTTTACTTTTCTGGTTCTCAATTTGACTGGATCTGTTTCTTTTTTTGCAATGAGTCATGATAGCTACCTATAAATCTATCGGGAAAATATGGATGAAAAGATTACTTTCTTTCTAGATTCTTCTGCTATCTGGTTCAAACCATATAAAAGTTTACAAATCAAAACTCACAGCTCTTCCAATCATTGAACTCTATATTTCTCCCTTGGAACAGTCTTAATATATTGTTAACCAGAAAATGAACACATTCAGGTCTGGTGCAGGATAACTTACCATAGCATCAGAGAAAGTCCAGTCTTTATTTTTTCTTTCAACCTTATTCTGAATTAGAAAATATTTGTAATAATTGTTTTTTCGTCTGTTTTTTTATGATCAACCTTATTCTTAATTAATATTTGATATACAAAATGTTTTTAAGCTTACTTTTCACTGAGAGTGCTATGACAAGCTGCTTTGAGGTGTGAAAGTTTTCTCATGATAAATGAATTTTCACTTTCAGAGATATGCAGCAGTGCTTTTTGGCAAGAATTTTTCCTCAATATTTGATTTGATTTCCCCTCATGAATATCTTCATGTACCCCATATACCATCACTTATTTTGTACTGGACAAACACACTTGTTTTTCAAAATAAATGTTTTCAAAGACTAAGTAGTAATTTTTAGGTATGTGTACCAGTACATGTATATGTTACATTTATATATGTGTATTTGTTAACATTATATGTACTGGTATCAGTCTTCTTGGATGCTTTATTCGTATTAAACTCAAAGAGTTCCTTGTTCAAACTTTTGAAGGCATCATGTATGCATGCATTAATAAAAAAACAGCATAAGTAACAATTTGAATAACCAAGTTTTGATTTCCCAGTCAGGATTCAGGATCCTGTGCATATGCCAGGCAACTATCTGAATGACCCAATTATTTTACCATTAACTGTAAGATTACATTTGATGTCACAGGATAAAAGGCGGGAAGACATCATGACTGAAATAGATAATAAATTTATGTGTTTTCAAATTTACTTTTTTCATTACAGATAAAATATTCCCTTTTAGACGAACAGGATGTGTCGCTAATTAGACGATATGGCTTTCAGGCCCACGTAGATATGGATCGAGATGGTAACGGTGCCAAGATATATGCCTATGCATACGACCTGTTAAAAGGAAAGTCCTCAATGCAGTCACTTCATAATATGTTATGGTAAGATAAATGTCAAATTTTATCTCTTCAAGGAAGTTTAAGTAGACATGTATCATGCAAAGTACATATACATGTAACAGGTTAAAAGAATAGGTTTGATTGGTGATTGCATTATTTTCGTAATATATATCTACATGTATGGTATTGGGTGAACTTGATTATAACAGGAATATGATAAGAAAGTGACTGAAAGGGAGGAATACCATTCCGCCCATTATCAAAATTGTCATTTGGTAGCTTGCCAACTAAAAATAACAGGTATACTGCAATTTAAGAATATATGTATGAAAAAATGGTTACTTTCAATTCAATAAGACATCAAACAAGAAAAGTAACAAGAATTAAAATTTGAATGTCACCATATGTCACTCAACAGTATCAAAGGACTCAAACCATATGGCTGGTCCCTGGTATTGGTACAATTCACACAAGTTCAGAATCACTGTTGATGTTGAAAATTCAATGTGATTCTGAATGTTGGTGATTGGGGTGATTCATATGTATGTACAATATATATATGGTGATATATGATGGTGATGTAAATCATGGTATCACCTCCAGCCACCAGCATCCCCCTCTTTCACAATGAATCAGTCTTCCCGGGGTACACTAGACAGTATTTATTATATATTTGGAATAATCTTTTTTTCTGTAGGTACAGCATGTATTTACTAAGGTTTTTACAAGGGGTTTCACTTATGATAGTGATTTTGGAATATTATCACTAGTTTTTGTTTCCTACAAAAAAATAAATTATTGAATGACACTACACTGTGTATACACAACAATAATTATATTTTTATTCTTGCAGGGAGAAATATCGAGGTGGCATTGCTCCAGGATTCAAAGTTGTCCATCTGAATGGTATCACCGTTGACAACAGGTTAAATAACCTCGCACTTATCCCTGAAGATTTTCCTGTGGATATGGTTGAAGAGCCATCAACAAAATCTAGAGAACAGAGTCTGTACTGGTTAGCTGTACAGCAGTTACACATAGCTCCATTACAATGTGTATGTTTTAGTATTTTCTTTCAACACTGGTTTTACTGCTGCATGGGAGAAGTCAATGTAACCATATTTCTATAGCCAACTCAACCCTTTCGATCCTGCATAGTCAAAATTTAATGAATAAATCCAGGGATCTCGTTATATATCCCAAGAAACAAACTGTAAATATCATCAAAAACATGATATAACACCTATATTTTATTAGAAAATGTAAAAAAAATTATAAAAGGGGGGGGGAATCAAAATTGTATCTGAAAACACTATGGCCACATGAAAAAGACAAACAACAGTCCATACAACACTGAACAAAACTAAAGATTGCTACACAACCCCACCAAAACCTAGGATGAACACATGTGCTCTGGAAGGGTTAGCTGATCCTGACAAATACATGTAATGAAAAGAGACATCAACAATTTTTCAGACCAGGGATCTGAATTGGATGAGGCACATACATGTACATATAACAATGAAACATGAATAAAATGAATTTATGAGTACATGTATTTGAGAAAAAACTATAAAATTCTTTATGATAATGATTCCAAAGGATGCACTGCATGTGGTAAGATCAGAAATTAAATTTAAAAAATACAGCACAACAGCATGAAAATACAAACCTAAAATCTTATGAATGCTTGTATTAGGCTCAAAGCTTGCTCCATATATTGAAAATAGAAATCGCATGCCCTTGTACACTGAAATATGCAACTGTGTAATTGTAATATCCATTTATAAATGTAGTTTTATGTTTCATAAAGGTTTTTGTTTTCTTTCAGCAAAATCCAATAGAAATCCAAAAGCACAAGTTTTATGATAATAATGGTCATGATGTATACTTAGAAGGTAAATTTAATAAAATCAAATGGTAGCTTGATATACCCTAAACAATATGTCTTTCACACATTTTATGTTTGAATGAGCATCCAGATGTGCTCTAACCATATGTTAGGTCACATCTTTATTAACTCTGATGGTATCCTCCGGTCTCCTAAATTGGTCATTACCTAAAAATGAACACATCTTTTGGAATCAATTTTTCACTGAAATTTGTTGTCCATGACCTCACTTCTGATAAATTTTATGTAACAGAAAAGGACAGCTTCTTTCATTTTCAAGTATCATCTGTTCCTGACTGAGTTCAGTTTGTATGGCTGTTTAGTATTCTAACTTTTACAAAGCTATCCAAATCAAAACAATTATTTGAACAGCATTGTAGACACAAATTTAAACAGAAACACATGATTGGAGAAAAAAATCATTATTGTTGTCTGCTACTAAGGTCATATGGTCAGTTTACAACTGGTTATATGTGCATATGATATGATATTACATATAATAATCTTGTTATACTTATCAACTTTATTCGATTCAATTTGAGCTACATTTCATGTGTAAAATACACGTTTCTTTAATACAACTTACCACTTATGGTCTTACATTTCCCAACCGAGTAAATTTGGTTTTGGTTTGTGATTAACTATGTCAGTAACTGTTATATTGACTTGAGAAAGAATATGATATATAGTATACAATAAGCATCAATGTACATCATTGTTTTACAGAGGACAGTATTTATTATGAGTGTCACTATCCCCCTTGTACCAACATGGAGAAACATATCAGACAGTTCAGCATATGTGGACGTTGTCAACAAGTCAGGTAAATAATATCAAATAACAGTAGATGCAAAAATAAAGAGATGATACCAAGGGGACAATAAAAAATCATTAGTAAAAAACTAGACAACACCATGACCAAATAGACAAACAACATCAAAACGTACAAGCATTGCATCAATGAGACAGCAACCCAAAATCATGATAAAAATCAAACAGACATGCAGAGGTTAAAACAGACCTTATCACTACTCAGGAATCTACAACACTTGGCCTGAAAATGTGGGACTGTCCCTCTGTCCTTCCGTCTCATGAAATTTCAGTTGCATTTTTCTCAGATACTACAAACCAGAGCTTCCTAAAATTTGTTATATGGCTTCATTTAAACATACAATACGGTGTGACATGGTTTCAGGTTCATTGCTCATGAACTTTCTGTTAGAAAAGGCCATTAATGAAATTTTTCGTCACATTTTTCTAGGGAACTACAAATAAAACCTTCCTTAAATTTGTTATCAGGCTTCATGTGAACATCATTGAACATGCTTTTCCATGTAATGAGTTTTCAGAATAATTTCTGATCAACTTCCTGTTAAACAAATATTTAAAGCAGGGCAGTTCTATTTGTTTTTATTTCATTTATGGACTGACTTCACCAAAGCTGAGCCTAAAACCTCAGAAGTTACTGTCTTATTTATATGACAATCAAATTAATTTATGTGTACTTGTAAAATTCTTAATCATAAAATTCTTTATTGTGTGTTTCATCTTTCTATGCAATGTTTTTTCGTGATAACTTAAGTCATATTTGACTGATCCCTGTGAAATTTAAAGACAATCATCCTAGGCACAAAGTGAAGGTTTTTAGTCATAACATGCCAAAGGGGCCAACAATTGCACTTTTGCATGGTGCATAGAATTTAGTGTGTGAACATTTTTGATGGGATATTATTAGTGGCCATCCTCTCTGTATTCTGTCAGTAGATTTTATTAGCTCATTTGGTTTCCCAAATTGGTAAAGTTTCATTTTAAGTCCAGTCCTAATGTGGTTTTTTAAATTCTATAATTTCAACATACAAATATATATGGTCAATCAGATTTGTGGGGCTATTATAGTTTAGAGCTGTCATAGACCAAACTGCTCAAAATTCCATAAATAATTATTACCACTTTATGTGAATGGTAAATTATTAAATGGTTACATTTCTTTGCAGGTATTGTGGTACAATTTGTCAACAGCAAGATTGGCCTGTCCACAAGACTTACTGCATTGAACGACCACCTGTAGATACAGACACAGAGAGTTTACCTGACAGATGAAAGTGGATCCTCTAATCCTTTAATTACGTTGTATAATCAGTGGATTTACCAGTTATCTGTCCACAGGAAACTGCTTCACACCATAGTTGTTACACTGAAATCATGAGTGTAAACTCTTACAGCAAAAACCATTCATTTGATAACCTTTTTTTAAGTGGTACATTCTGTTTTGGTCTTTATTTTGTTTCAAAAGCTTTTTAAATTCTTTGTTATTCTGTGTGGCTATGGCATTTAGTGTTACCAGTGTCTGACATACTGTCATTTCATCCTCTGAAATCCAACAGATATCTGGGCTTTTTTTCTTCTTGCCTGAAGTGAGCTTGTTTTTGATTTATAAAGTGTAAAATATTAGCTTCAGATTGAGTTAATGAATTAAAGCTCTTGTACATTAAAAATTTTAATAGCATATAAGGTATTTTTGTCCTCCTTACACATCTATTTAAAAAAATTGTAGTTATAATTGTTACAATCAAAATTGCCTAGTTTAAACAAGGTTACCTTCCATATAGATAATTTTGATTTCCTTAGCTATCAGTTTTGACCATACTGAATAGAAATGAACCACTTTCAAATTAAATTGGTAAATAAATGGTTTTTGCTGCAAGTGTTTTGGAAACCTATATACTTTATAGTGCTTAATATCTGCAACGGGTGTTAATTCTAGTTTCTTTGAACTTATTGAAAAAAGTAAGACTTAAAATTGACCTCATGATGAAATCCTTATATATATTTGCATTGTCAATGCAGTGTTTTGCAGAAGTGACTGATAATCTTATAGTTGAGATCTAATGAAGAACAATCACCATTGTTTCCAAATATGACAAATGGCATAGGAAAAGCAGATCTTTATTTCAATCATATGTAGAAAATGAAAATTATAATTGATCTAGAATTTTTTAAATTTGAAGAAAGCTAAATAAGTATATTGTAAACTGGTTTGTGTGACTAAAGTATTGAGAACAACATAGAAAGTAAACAAGAAATATCTTTCACATTTTGAATGAGAAAATAGCAAATGCAGTACACACATGATAATTCCGTGTAAAATTACTCATAGTGACAATGTTTCAGTGTGAACACTAGCTAGTGATTGTGGGTATTTCATTCTGAAATTCCTGTCTGAATATTCAATAGATATTATATATATGACAGGGTCACAAATCAAGATGTTTTCAGTTCCAGTCACCTTGTTTCAGATTGATTCAACCAGCACCAACAAAAGTGATGTTTTGAGTAAATCACCGTGTGTGTACTGCATATGCCAAATGTGCTGTCTTTTTAGCATCTCACAGTTTGGTGCTTTTTTCCTTGATCATTTGCATTTATGATTGGGTCATTCTCATTTCACCTTCACAAAAAATTAAATGCTTTAATATTTATTTTGTTGCTGGTTTGTGTGTTAACATTTTATTTAACAAGAATCTAATTTTAATGTTGTTATAGTAACAGATTTAACTCTTCAGTGTTGCACTTTATTTTGTTTATTTACATATTAATATTAATTATTTTATTTTATATACGTAAAAATTGTTTATTTTAGTTTGTCTTTGATACATTTTAAATGTTATATTTGATTGGCATAAACATGTCATATGATAATTATGAAATATTATACACGTAAATGTGTACATGTATTTAATTTGGTAGTTATGAAATTTTATGTACAAAAATGTATATTTAAAATTTTATAAAATTTGTGGATAATTAAATTTTCAAAGACAAACTTAATTTATTTATTATTATATTTTGTTGCTTTAACATGATGCATGTGTTTATTGTGTGTAAACTAGTCATATATATTAACGCCAACTAATCATGCCATTTTGATAACAATATGTCTAATTTACTAGTCAGATTTTTACATTTCTGTCTCTTGTTTCTGTTTTTACTGAGGGCTATTCCAGAAAAATATGTAGGGGAGGGGGGTTGGAAGGCAGTTTGTTTCAGCACACACCACCCAGACAATTGTAATTGAGAATCATAGTGCATTATTGTGTGAAAAAATGCTCTGATACCCATCACCCATGTATTGTTATTATTAAGTGCCTTCCAATCTCCAACCCCCCCATACATTTTTTTTCTGGAATAGCCCTGACTTAGGAAAAGTCATTTTAGATATACCTATTGAGTATATTTACTTCTTCGGTAATTAATTTCATATTGAAGTTTTATTTATGTTTCAAACAACTGAGGGACAGGAAGCTCCTCCAGAATTCCAGTAATGTTGACTCACTTTAATTCATTGATAGATTATAACCAGTTTTTAGTATTTTACTGAAAAATTGTTGGATCATGGATATTTGAAACCATTTCTTTTTTTAAAAGAATTTTCAGATTACAAACAAATGACAAACTGACCTTTTGTTAGATATTATATTTCTTTGTTTTAGATAACCATTAATTCAACAGAAAATGTATGCTTCAATAAAGTTTATACAGATTATCTTAAAGTAACATTTTTCAAGGTCTTTCCTTGTATCAGTCAAACTGGTTCATGGAGTCATCTGGGGCAAATAGTAGAGAATACTAAAAACTTCTTTCAACAATTTTAGTCGTTTTGACAATTTGACAATTTTTAGTATGTTTTGATATCACCATGTTGATAATCTATATCGTGATTTTGGTTAAGACATTTTATTTCTGTTATTTGTTTAAGAACTGTATAGCATATGATTCAGTTTATAGAAAAAAAAAACCAGTCTAGATATGGCTGTTTGTTAAAACTTAAAAGCTATGCACAGGAATCTAATGCATAGTTATTTTTTAAAAGGGAGGTAATTCACTATTACTTATTTTCAAATCAATTAACCACCATCTTGGATTCTTGCAACTAGACATTTTTTCCAGCAAAATTACTTCAAGGAACAATCACCTTTAATGTCATGATGCTGTCACCCTGACTGCCTTCTGCAGATATATTTTAAACTCTATGAAAATTCAAACTTTCAAGAATCGCAGCCTAGTCTAGAGAGTTGTACCTAAAAAAAAATCTGGTTTTTTGCTCACTTCTCCCCATTAAATTGTATGAGAAAGAAGTTTTTAACAAGGTAATATATACACACCTTAAAATTGTACTTCAAACAATAGCCCCTTTTGAATGATACAAAAGTTACAAAAAATATAGTAATTACAGTCATTTCTCAGTTTTCTTTTGTTTTAAATTCTGATTAGTTCCCTTTTACTTTAAGATTAGCAAGATTTGTAATAGAAAAATCAGCATTTAACACTAATGATAATTATTTTCCGATATATAGTTAAGAATAGTTGTTGTGATTTACTAACTCTGCCATATATGTTTGACGTGTAGTGTGCCATTAACAAAACTAGTGCAATATATAAACAGACATTCCAAATAATATCATTCCAGTATTTGATTACATAGACAGTAGCAGTTATACATGGAAAATATACAATCAAATGTACAAAATGTTGACAACATATTTTAGAGAATTTGAACTTGGATTGTTCATAGGTAATGTTTATTTTTTGTTTATAAAACATGAAGGCCTAGGCTTCTTTTATTTAAAAAAATTTCTTTTAAGATTGACATGGACATAATACAGCAAAGTTAAGAGGCATTAGATTATCCAGTCGTGAAAATTGAAGAATACTGATACTTTTTCTTTAACAAAATCGATCTTCTAATTTCAATCATTTTAGGACCAAAGAAAAGTATATACATAAGCTTTCCATATACCCAACTAACTTTAATCTTAAACCTAAACTCATACTAATTTGTGATGGAATAAATATATTAGAAGATTTTATATCATACACCTTATTGCTATTTATTCCAATCCAGATAAGTTCTGAAATTACACAACTTTTTTATGATGTCATAAACCAGTAGAAGCTATTTAAACAATGTATTGTGCATAAAACTGTTCAAAGAGACATGTTTAAACCATGGTAAACACTTTCTTATTACTTTAATTTGTGTTTCACAAAATTAGATCATAAACTATCAAAATTTTAAAATGTTCACTTTCTAAACTTTTTCCTCCTTCAGATCATTACTGATGAACTTTGTTTTTGTAACTCTTGACACAAACAGGAAGTTGTCTAAGTGACGGTTTTTCCAGGAATGGATTAACTTGCGATAAGGTGTATACTGTCAGTTAAAAAAAGGTCAAAATACAGTAGCCTATACTTCATAATGTTTTGTATTAAAAGTTTTAACTAGTTTCTATCAATAAATGCCTAATTACAAGTGGCCTAGTTTCCTGGTAAAGATTATTACATGTATTAAAATATTTTTTTCTGTACACTACACAAATAAAATGCAGATTACACAAAATAATCTACAACATTGCAACCCTTTCATTACCATTTGAACTGAAGGTGCATACTTTATAAAACTGTTATATTCTGTTTATTTATTTATGTTGGTAATCATAGTAACTGTTTATTTAACATATTTACTTATGGTTTGAATAAATTAATTTTGTATTAATGTGTTCTGTTTATATTATCTGTATTTTGGAAAATTACCAAAATTATTTTTATGCCCCACCTAGGGGCATTATGTTTTTCGGTTTGTGCGTCCATTCATCCGTCCCGCTTCAGGTTAAAGTTTTTGGTAAAGGTAATTTTTTGATGAAGTTGAAGTCCAATCAACTTGAAACTTAGTACACATGTTCCCTATGATATGATCTTTCTAATTTTAATGCCAAATTAGAGTTTTGACCCCAATTTCAGGGTCCACTGAACATAGAAAATGATAGTGTGAGTGGGGCATCCGTGTACTATGGACACATTCTTGTTATTGTTATGTTCAGTTCGTAACTGTTTTATCTTTTAGAAAAGTCTTTTGATCTGCGGCATGTGTATTTGGAGATTTGTTGTGTACTTTTGAATATGACCTTTGACCTCAAGGTTAACTTTTTAGAATGACATGATTGTGTCCAGGACTCAGGGCCTTAATTTTTTTTATCTGCAGACAAAGGTGTTTGATGTTTGGTATGTGGGTTCTTCAAACCTGATGTTTGGTATTTGGGTATGTCAAACCAAGACAATGTGTCATGTACCATTTGATATTCCCTTTGAACTTTCTCAGCTACTGTAAATTCAGAAATTTTTGCATGCATTCATTATTGGGAATGATGAATTTCTATTTATCTCTATCATAAGTTTTTTATGGTGGAAATATGGGATAATTTTTTTTAATGACATCAAAGCATAAACACAAATTTGTGAGAGGAAATTTTCATACACACACAAGAATCAAGTAATTTTTTATGGAATCGGTTTGGTCCATACAAACAATCTGGTAAATAATTTAGTTAATATTTTCTCAAGCCCTGTATTTGCAGGTCAGAAAACCAACTGAAACTAACAAAATCTTTTATGATTCCATAAATTTCATTGTTTTCTATCAGCATGAAGTAGATTTTGGCAAATATACAGAGCAAGTCAAGACATAAGTTTTATATGCCAGCTGCTAAGTGGGAGGCACATATAGTTTAACCTTTGTCTGTTCCTTCATGATGCTGAGAAACAATTGTTAATGTTTTCATGTTCCCTTATAATATAACAATGAAGTTCCAAATAGAAGAAATATTCTTGAATATTAATTCTGCTGAAAAAAGTATTACAGTATTCTTCCTGATGGAAAAGAGGGTATAGAGTATTTGTTCAAACAGGAACAGATACTGTAGTATTGTTTATAGAGCCATTGTGGCTGAGTGGTCCAAGTAATTCAACTACTGTATCACTAGCCTGTCAATACTGAGGTTGCACATAACAGGTGCATATGACTCCAATCTTAAGAACTGACAGTTTTTCTACTGAAGGTCGGTGGTTTTCTCCAGGCACTCCAGCTTCCTCCACCAATAAATACCCATGAAATAGCCAACAGTGCTGAAAATAGTGTTAAACACCAATAAATCAATCAATCAATAGTATAGTTAATATACCAGTTTCCAGAAGAACTTCTAATAGGAGGAACAAATATATGTTGAAAACTTCACTTAATTTTTTGATGATTGCTAATTTGAGCTGTACAATAGAAGTCTAATCTACAAACTCCTGATGGCATTCCAATATGTCGAGGAAAATAATATGATTGTTGTATTCACTTTGTCACTTGCCTTGCTTGCAATTAGTTGCCTGATTTATTATCAAGAGAAGGTTAACAAGAAAAAGTAATAGATCAAGTTTATGGTAAGCTTGTTTCTCTGGGAATTCTTGTAAGTGAAATAACAACCCTTAAGGGCATACGATACAGTTACAGGGGAGGTATTGCTAACGTAATATGTTATTTTTCACGACGTCAAATGTGACATATTGGGAAAAGATGCATTTTCGACTGATTTTTATCATTCAGACTGATTTAACTTGAAAACGAGTTCATTGACCCCTCTTTTTAAAAATGACATTTGACTTGATTATATATGAAGATTATTTGTGCCAATGTTTATGAAAAATTTACCGATGAATTTTTTAAAAATTAGATAAATATACAACAAAAAATGCCGTTATTTGACTAAAATCATGAAAATATGATAAAACAAACAATTTCCAAAGAACTGATACACAATTTCAAAGCACACTTAAGTAGAGAAGATATTCCAGATGCTTTTACAAAAATCTGCTTGCATTTATCTTTGGAAACAAAAAAGTTAAGTATGTCTTTCCAAAGGATAGAAATGTCCAAGAAACCGAAATTTCCAGTAAATGACTAAAATTTCGACCCCATTTATCTCTAAAAGTAGCACATGAAGGTATATTTTTTATTACATATTTGAATTGACAAGGTGAAAAATAGCTTGTATGCAAACTCTCGTCAAAAATTCACCGTAGGATCAAAACTGTATCGTATGCCCTTAAGATAACGTTTTAAGATGGGTCAAAAACTCAAATGGACAGTTTGCAATACTTGTTAGTAATCAATGTAGAATGTTTACAATGTAGTTGAAAACTTGTACCCTCTTTCATAAATTTTGCTGAAAAATGACAGAGTTCCAAAGTCTTGAATAATGAGGAAAAAAATCCTCAAACAATTCCATAATAGCAAGTGCAAAACTTAAACATATGTGCAATCTTTCTGTGAAGTTTCAGAGATCTGGGTTGAAAACTGTAGAAGTTGATTACACAAATTAAGTACCCATTTTCTACGCTTGCCTGTCATCAGTATATTCTATTGTGTTACAGTCAAGTGAATTCATAATGATACAAAATCTCTGACACAATGGGAAAAGGAAATGTTATCCTAGTTATAGTTTAGTGTAGGTTAAGATGTTGATCAAAACTTAAGTTTGAGATAGCTTGCTGTGAAGTAGATAGAATATCAACAATTTTAGACAGAATCAAGAATATTTCAGATATGAACTACTTTAATGACTGTTAAGAAAGAATGTCCTTGACTTCATTTTTTGGTGATCATGGTAAAATGTTTGTAAATGGTACAGATAGTTTGATTTGAAGTAAATATGATTTCTTAATTAACTGTCATGGTACAATCAACATACACGTATTGATTTCATGGTTCAATGATCAAAATTAAAATTTATTGTACTACTTAGTATAATGGCAAGGCATAGCCAGTTTTCAAACATTCTAGATGTGCCTGTCTCAAGTCAGAAGCCTGTAATTCAGTGGTTGTCGTTTGCTGTGCATCATATTTGTTTTTCATTTATTGTTTTGTAAAAAATCAGGCTGTTGGTTTTTTCTTTAGAATATGAGTTCCCATTTTTTCATGTCCGGGTCTTTTATAGCGGACTATACAGTATGTGTTTTGCTCATTGTTAAAGAACATAGTGACCTATAGTTGTTTAAATCAACGTCATTTGGACTCTGGTGGATATTTATCTTGTTGGCAACCATACAGCATCTCCTTATTTCATGTAAGTATTAAAAATTTTATTTCCATCCTCGTCCTCATGGTCTCTGGTGGATAGTTTTTTCATTGGCAATCATACCAAATCTACTTGTTGTCGAGCCTGCGACTTTTGTCGCAAAAGCGAAACATAGCAATCCTACATTCCGTCGTCGTCAGCGATGGTGTCCACAAATATTCACTCTGTGGTTAAAGTTTTTGAAATTTTAATAACTTTCTTAAACTATCCTGGATTTCTACCAAACTTGGACAGAAGCTTGTTTATGATCACAAGATAGTATCCAGAAGTAAATTTTGTAAAAAAAAAATCCTGTTTATCCGTATTTTACTTATAAATGGACTTAGTTTTTCTGCCAGTTAACATTACATTCACTCTGTGGTTAAAAGTTTTAAAAATTTTAATAACTTTCTTAAAATATCCTGGATTTGTACCAAACTTGGACAGAAGCTTGTTTATGATCAAAAACTAGTAGCTAGAAGGAAATTTTGTAAAAATTTGTTTCCTGTTTTTCCGTATATTACTTATAAATGAACTTAGTTTTTCTTTCAGTTAACATTACATACAGTCTGCAGTTAAAGTTTTTAAAACATTTATTAGATTCATAAACCATCCTGGATTTTTACCAAACTTGGACAGAAGCTTCTTACAATCAAAAGATAGTATCTAGAGGAAAATGTAAAAATTATCTTCTTTATCATTTGTTCATTCAATAAATTTATGTTTCAACTCTTTTATAAATTTATATAGATTTGATTGCATACTGTATTCATTTTTTACAAGCATAACTTTTTCATACATTTCAAACGTTTTATTTAATTAACTGTTCTATTATGTGCATTCCCCTATCACACTGAAAACATAGACAACAGCAAAAGTAGGCGAGACACTGGGTTCTGCGGCACCCTTACGAATTTTGTTTATAATGTTAAGGCTTCATCAGTATTCCTATTTGGTATTGTAATTTTTACATACGATACATTGCCTTCCCTGTTATCTTCTATAATTCCTTATAACAATAGGCAAATTGTATTTGTCATCAAGACATCAAACCCACCAATGGCTACAAAGCAATTTGAATATGCACCCCAAGGCATCATCCTTAGCGTGTATAGTGAAGAGATATGGTGTTGTCTATTTGTATACAATATGGTATTTAGGTGATTAATTTAAGTTAAAAAGGACACACAGAAAATAACTGATTGAAGGAGCAATTTGTATGTATAACAGCATGATGAGAATTGATTATATTGATGTTTATACACTTAAAAAGAGTTGTGGGATTTTGTAGATAAAATGTCCCTCATCTAGAAAGGGGGGGGTTAATGATTAAGCAACTCAAATGCAAACAACAAATCACTGAATTACAGAGTTTGGATTGGAATAAGTAGTGGAGGTCAAACTTTAATGTACACTTTGTCTTTGTAAGCATTCATTGTTTTTCTTAAATTGTTTAACATTTCATACTGATATAACATGTTACTTTTATTATTCTTCCCTTAGTTTATTTATTTTGTATTTGCATTGTATCATAGGTCAAATTTATTTGTTCATTGTATGTTCATTGGTGTTAATATGTCCTTTGATTGAGTTAAGCCATTTCAGTTGATATTTCTTTCTATTTTGTGATGTTACACTATTGTTTCAGAAAAAGGGTGAAGGTTTGGTACCATTAAAACGTTTAAACCCGCTGCATTTGTTTGCACCTGTCCTAAGTCAGGAATCTGATGTTCAGTAGTTGTCGTTTGTTGATGTGGTTCATAAGTGTTCCTCGTTTCTCGTTTTTTATATAGATTAGACCGTTGGTTTTCCCGTTTGAATGGTTTTACACTAGTAATTTTTGGGGCCCTTTATATCTTACTGTTCGGTGTGAGCCAAGGCTCTGTGTTGAAGACCATACTTTGACCTATAATGGTTTACTTTTTTAAATTTTGACTTGGATGGAGAGTTGTCTCATTGGCACTCATACCACATCTTCTTATATCTATATATCCCCACTCATAATTCAAAGTATCTGAAAACAGGAAGTAGGTGTCAAACAGATCTGAAAAGCAGCTCATCACTGCCAAACTGCTGCGTAAATATGGAATTATTCTGTTCTGTAGTACTTGAGAAAAATGTGACAAAAATTTTATGTTCATTCAAGATATTGAAAAATTCAAAGTATCTGCAAAAAGGAAGGAGGTATCTTTCAGCGACTCTTTTCACAAAAAATCTTACGATTACAATTGATCATAAGTTATACTGAAAAGTGTATGACTTACGATTATTTTTACTTTAAGATTTTTTGTGAAAAGAGCCGCAGATCTATTTTGGTAAACTTGTTGTTGAGTAGCTGTTTCATAAATGTTTACTCAACATCTTTATAACTTAGATAAATGTCAATGATTTAAAATGTTTTGTTATGGGATTTGCCTAAGACACCATACAACAGACCAAGCTAAGTGTTACTTTAGTACATCTTGGGTGATTTGCAACACTCAGCCTACAACATACATAGCTTAGTGTTGTTCTAGTTTATATATTTATATTAGAGATTTCAAATGCTTACAGGGACTTCTGCTTAATCTCCTATGATTGATGACAAAAAATGTGACTGCTAAAACTGGTGAAGCAGTTTAAATATACTTATGGAGATTCCGTATATTGTCAAGTTATCGGAATTCCAATGGGTACTTACTGTGCACCACTTATTGCAGACTTATTTCTGTATTGATATGAGTTACAATTTATGACTAAAATCAGCAAAGACCCCTCGAAACAACATCTGATACAAAAATTTAATAACACTTTTAGATATTTGGATGATATATTGGCTCTCAATAATGAAGACTTCAGTATATACACTAAAAAGATTTATCCTGCTGAACTGACTTTAAATAAAGCTAATACTAACAATGAACACTGCTGTTTCCTGGATCTTGATATCTATATCTTCAACAGGAAGCTTAATACCAAAATTTACAATAAAAGAGATGATTTTTCATTTCCTGTTGCTAATTATCCATTTTTAAATGGTGACGTTCCCTTGTCACCATCTTATGGTGTTTATATATCTCAACTTGTTTGTTTCGCTCGTGTATGTAACAACGTATTTGATTTTAACGAAAGAAATCTCTGTATAACTGAAAAATTATTACGACAGGGTTTTCGATATCACAAACTAGTCAAAACATTTACTAAATTTTATCATCGGTACAAGGACATCATTCGTAAATTTAAATCAACATGCAGACATCTTATATGTTCAGGTATTTCACATCCAATCTTTTATGGTAATATTCTATACAAAGCACAAAAATGTCGTCATTCATCTCAAAAGCTAACAAAACCTTTAAACAGACTTATTCAGAAGGGATAAAGTTACGAAACTGTTGTCAGGTCATTAAAGATGTCATATTTTGGAATTAATATTGATTCACTCATAGGGTCTTTGCATCGGAAATAAACACATTTATTCTAAAACCAGTTGTTGGCATGATATGGGTTATGTTCTTCTCATATATTTTATGATGGTATGATACTAAACCCCTAACGGGAGGGATTGTACTTGATTTTCATATGACGAAGACATAATCTTTCAATCAGTTTAACTGAGGTTTCGAGCTGGCATGTCAGTAACTGCTGGTAGTCCTTTGTTAATTTAGGTATCATTGTCATTTTACTTAGTTTCTTCTGTTACCTATTCTGACTTTTTTTAACTGAGTTTTACTGTGCATATTGCTGTGTGTTTGTTTATTCTACATTGGCTAGAGGTATAGGGGAGGGTTGAAATCTCACAAAACATGTTTATCTCGCTGTGTTGAAGACCCATTGGTGGCCTTGGGCTGTTTTCTGCTTTTTGGTCGGGTTGTTGTCTCTTTGACACATTCCCCATTTCCATTCTCTATTTTATTATAAACATACCAATAAACTTTGCTGCATTAAGAAATAAGTAGAAATTGCAATGCAAGTCATTTTATTCAGATTTTTTTTATAATTTACAAAGTATATCTATGAGACATTAACTACTATTAGAATTATTTAATTCATAAAAATGATTCATGAAAAGACTGTGTATAAATGTGTAGATTTAAGCCTGATGTTACAACATAAATTTGGTGATTTTGAGTTTAATTTTGATTAACAAACTAAAATTCTGACAAAAATTTGTTGAACTTATTTAATGTATAAATGGAAACTTAGTTATTTCATTTCATTACTTTTAACCCATTAACCTTCAATCCCATCTGTACTCATGATTCGACAGCCATTCCTCTATAACCTATATGGCAATCATACTTTTTTTCAACTGCACCATCCAAATTGTAATGGCTGCAGGGAGTTCAATCTGGCAATTCTTGGTCCATAAACCCTTTTTAGATGTGTTGATATTAAAATATGACAACCTTAATGCCCTTCTCGGAGATAAAAATAGGAAAACTGTGAAAAGTAGCTAAAATCAGGTGGGAGTCATTTTGATGGCCACTACATTAATAGTATAAGCTGTAGGTATTTACTATTATTCTAAATGCATGCATAGGTATTTTAGACACACAAGGAAGTATTATATGGCCAGATAAATTCTGATTAGTAAAAACTTAAAGTGACTGTTTTGTCAGAAATCTGTAAAAGCAGATATTTTGGTAGACCTGGCTTGCCATTAATGTTTCAAGAGCAAAGACGAAGAAGTCACATTTACTTTCAGTCAACATGGATGGGTTGCTGTAACTATAAGGTAATAATTAAATGATCACAAAGAAACACTGTTTTGTCAATGTTCACCTCAATGTCGAAAAAAAAAAAAATTAGACAGAAACTGGATGTGACAATTTTTGGGCAGGGGTGCACATTAAGTCAAATCCAAAATGACATTTTAATGATTGAAAGCACAAATTAAATGATTGCAAATTAGAATAACATTTAAATCATAATAATTTATTGATTGATTAGCAACCGACAAGGAACTTTTGTTAGAAAATGAATAATAAAAGCAAGCTGTAGAATTAGTTCACATATTTTGTTTTTAAACAAACAATAATATTTTGCAGTTCATCATTCATAAGGCATCTACTGGGTTCTTCACTCTGAAAAAGAAAATATCACATTCAATGTCTAGTCTAACTAACAAAAAAGTAAACTATGATTAAACTGGAGGCTCAAAGGATACTGTATTACTCAGTAACATGAAAATCATGCAGTGCTACATTTAAGATAAATCACAGAATTACACAAGTTCAGAATTTACCCAAAAATATAACTGGCCTGATGACTTATTCAAATGGATGTTTTCAAGTGTTTTTGCCCTTTTATCAATTTGGAAAATAACTGTCATAATTAATTTAGGTAGTAGGCCTGCATTGATTTGTGCAGATCACAACAGCTTCTACCACTATGGTAGTGCTTCAAGAGTTGCTTTTGTCATTAACAAAACCAACTACCAATATGTTGGTAATTTTGATGTTACAACATTTTGCAGTTTGATAAATTTCTTTACTTAATAAAAACATAATTTTGTGGTGAAGCAATTTCATATTTTTCAAACTTAAATAGGGTCAAGTATCTTTAACAATTAACAACCCTGGATTATTACCTTTACATATTTTTTATTGGTTGATTTGTATCCAGTTTTGTCAACACTTGAAGTTCTTTGTCAAACTCATCACTGTTGTTACCAGCCTCATTTTCAACCTCAATCTGGAGAGGTGTAACAGGAATCTTCTTCCAATGATGTCCTCTTTCAATTCTTTGTTCTTCCACAGAAGGCTCAATTGTTGATATCTCTGAAGATTTAGCGTACAAGATGTCAGGTGTAGATGTTCTATATAACTCATGTTTATGGTTGGTATTCGGCACCTCATATTCCATGTGATCATCTAGAATCAAAGCCTTATTTGTAACCATTTGACTTCCTTCTGAAAAAATTCTAGTGTTTTCACTTTTAGATTTTGTGACGTCAGATTCTTGCATCTTAAGTTTATCATTTTGATCCAGTTGTGTTGAATATTTAACAACAAAATTTTTCATTTGCTGTTCATAGTCAGAATGGCCTATTTGACGATTATTCTCCTGTGTTGATTCTAATTCTGCTGTATTGCCAGTACCCACTGTTTTAGTATTCCCATTACCTGTCAAAGACTTGTGTGATACAATATAGGGCTTGAGTTCATCTTCAATCATACCAATATCCTGTTTTTCTTGGTATTTATCAGGCTTGTCAAAACTAATTGGCTCTTCTTTTCTAATGAATGATTTCTGAGGGACTGACAAATGTTCTCTGGACTTGGGTAAGGTCTTTTTAGCAGGACTCTTTACTGGAATTAATATACTAGAAGTGACCATGCCTTGGGACATATGTTCTTTATCAGGAACAATCTTAGTAGGAATTTGATACGCCAGTTCTAGTGAGTTTGATTTCTCAGATAAATTCCTGTCATTCTCTTGTCCTCTAGCATTTTTGATGGGTGTTTTACTGTCTTCAGCAGCTGGTTGTTTTTGAACTCTTTGGGTCTTGTCTAAGTAATGTGTATTATGTTCAACCCGCTCATCCTGTTTGAGCCAAGAACCTCCTTGTATTGCTATAGGTATCGGTTCATCTTCCCTTGTTGGCAAAACTGAACCTAAAAATTATGCAGATATTTAAACTATTAATGCAGATGATAAATATGAATATTCAAATATACTGAATACAAATATGGAAATATTGTTTAAGATTAGAAAAAGACGAATAAAAATACATTTTTTTATAAACAGAGATGACTTTAATACAAGCCATACAAAATAACACAATATTTGAGGTGCACTGTCTGTTCAACAAAATTTCCCATAGGCTTTAGAACAGAATTTGTCAGTTTTTCTTCAATCCATGAAAATTGGTACCAATGAAAAATGACTTCCAAAGTAGCATAAAACTACCCCATAAAATTAGCCACAAAGTATATATTCTGCCATATATATGAAAATAGGCACATACATGAACTTGTATGAATTGTTGCCCTTTATAATATTGCTTTTGACAATATTTTGACCTTTTATTACCAAGAATCAAATTATCAGGAAAATGCTGCAATTCAGTGACTTCTTACATTAAAGTACACAAATATGGTTGTCTTATATATAAAATTGAATGTAAAAATAACCAATGTTTCTAAAACATAAAATTCAAGAAGCACCTTGGGCACATAAGCAGAGTTGCCATCTTTATTGACTTGTAGTAGAAGAAACAGATTTTTAAGTCTGGTACTATTTTTAGGTGGTTTTGGTTATGATAACTGTAAACCTCCCAACATTTTATGTCAAATGACAGAAAATGGGTATGATGACCATGAGAACATTCAGAGGTCTTGTTTTTTTTGAGTGGCGATTATCAAGCAAAGTTTTGTGAATGTTGGGGAATGTTTAAAATCAAAGTCTGAGTCAATCATTAGTTGAACTTTGATCTATTGACTCAAAATCAATACCTGTTTCCCTCATCCAATGGGGCATTATCAAACCAAGATTGGTTAAAGTTGAACATTTGGTTCAAAATATAAAATCTGAAAACCAAACTTTTGCCCAATTTCAGTTTATGAATAGCTTCTGTGACCTTCACCTTTAACCAATTGACACCAGTAGGGTTCTTCCTCAACCAATGACACATTTTGAAACTAAGTTTTGTAAAAGTTGGACATATGAGCCAAAAATGAATATGGTTCTTCCTCACCCCACTGGCCATTATTGAACCAAGTTTGGTCAAGATATTGTTTATGATCATAAGATTTTGTTACGGAACCAAAATGTTGACGCTGGACGCCTTTCATCATATCATAAGCCAAGTTTTACTACAATGAGAATTTTTGTAAATAAAAATTAACATGATATATCATACGTTTTTTTCTGGCTCCACAAAAACCACAAAAGTTCTGACAATTCTCTTTTGCCCAATCTCCATAGTCTGTACAGGAACTTTTCCCATAATCTGCACAATCTGTCAACTTGTCTTTACATGTTTCTACAAGGAAGACACAAAATATGAGTATTTGGATTTCTTAGTAATAAAAATGGTTGAAAAATTTACCTTTAACTAAGCAGTGTAACAGGAATTGCACAACCTGCTTATTGTATGATGTCAGGTGATTTGGCAGGCAGGCAGGGCAAATGGATACTATTATTCATGTTATCTACTCCTAAAATTTTCCTCCCAGATCCTAAAATTTCACAGGCACTGTAGGAGGAGTTGTTAATACAAAAGTAAAACCATTTTTTGTAAATTTTTCTGAAAAATTACTGTTTCAAAGTCTGGAAAAAATTCCTCCAACAAATCCATTGTAGCAAATGCACATCTTCAATATGGGAGGAAATCTTTCTGCAAAATTTCAAGGTTCTGGATCTGAAACTGTAGAAGGTGTTGATTACATAATATTGGTACCATCATGTCCAAATATTGCTGAAAAATGACTTAATTTCCATGTCTAGAAAAATGTAAAACAATAATCCAAACAAGAGTGCACACGCTGAAATGTCTCGCCTTCTTTACTAATCATTGATATTATGTTGATAGTCCTAAATATAAAGCTTTATTACAACTGTCACATAAACTTAACATTAACCAAGTAAACTAAACATTGACCAATGAACCATGAAAATGAGGTCAAGGTCAGATGAACCATGCTAGGCAGGCATGTACAGCTAACAATTCTTCCATACAACAAATATAGTTGACCTATTGCTTATAGTTTAAGAAAAACAGACGAAAACACAAAAACTTAACACTGAGCAATGAACCTTGAAAATGAGGTCAAGGTCAAATAAAACCTGCGTAACTGACATATAGATCATAAAATATTTCCATACACCAAATATAGTTGAACTATTGCATATAGTATAAGAAAAAAAGACCAAAACTCAAAAACTTAACTTTGACCACTGAACCATGAAAATGAGGTCAAGGTAAGATGACACCTGCCAGCTAGACATGTACACCTTACAATCATTCCATACACCAAATATAGCTGACCTATTGCATGCAGTATTAGAAAGAAAGACCAAAACTCAAAAACTTAACTTTGACCACTGAACCATGAAAATGAGGTCAAGGTCAGATGACACCTGCCAGCTAGACATGTACACCTTACAATCATTCCATACACCAAATAAAGTAGACCTATTGCATACAGTATAAGAAAAACAGACCAAAACACAAAAACTTAACTATAACCACTGAACCATGAAAATGAGGTCAAGGTCAGATGACACCTGCCAGTTGGACATGTACACCTTACAGTCCTTCCATACACCGAATATACTAGACCTATTGCTTATAGTATCTGAGATATGGACTTGACCACCAAAACTTAACCTTGTTCACTGATCCATGAAATGAGGTCGAGGTCAAGTGAAAACTGTCTGACGGGCATGAGGACCTTGCAAGGTACGCACATACCAAATATAGTTATCCTATTACTTATAATAAGAGAGAATTTAACATTACAAAAAATCTGAACTTTTTTTTCAAGTAGTCACTGAACCATGAAAATGAGGTCAAGGACATTGGACATGTGACTGACGGAAACTTCGTAACATGAGGCATCCATATACAAAGTATGAAGCATCCAGGTCTTCCATCTTCTAAAATATAAAGCTTTTAAGAAGTTAGCTAACGCCGCCGCCGCCGCCGGATCGCTATCCCTATGTCGAGCTTTCTGCGACAAAAGTCGCAGGCTCGACAAAAACTATTTCATAATGGCAGGCAGACAACTTCAATATGTGTGCAATCGATCTGTGAAGTGTTTAGGATCTAGGTTGAAATCAGTTGGAGTTTATTACACAAAACACCCCTCACCCAATCATCCGACATTACCATACAATGAGATGGTTTTGCACTTTGTGCAACCCAACCAAAAACCTGACAGATCATTCAAAGATCAGTTCTAAGAACATTCAGAAAATGAAACTAAAATTAAACTTAAGAGGTGATTCAACTTATAATGTAAGCAAATTGATCAAAATACTGATGGGGATTTTGAGGAATAAAATAGGCCAAAAGATTGATTTAATAAAAGTTTGTTATTGAATTATATTTCAAAGTATGTCAGTCCCTTACCTAGATCTACTAGTAATTATGCAATTCTTTTTTTAATAAGTGAAAAGCTTATACTGTCCATTTGAGCTGAATTAGAGAAATATTAAGAAATGAACCAATGCATCTAGTATGCAATGAGCTGATATTGTATATTTATTCATTAGTTACAAATGGTGTACAATGTCTACCATGAAAGACTACAGATAACTAGCAATATACAGCTAAGAATTACAACAAACTTACCATTATAATTATGATATATGCTGACAACTATAAAGTACCAATTACTATGTTAATTATTTTCTACTTCCCCAACTTTACCTCATTTCGTTAAAGATGTTTTTCAATGAAAAAAATTATTTTATTTTCCTTTTGACCCTTTATTTCTGATGTTTTTAAAACAGTTTTACTCAAATTAAACCCAAAATATATAAAACTAATTTTCTTGCTCAAAGACCCAAGTTAGGTATACATTTATTTATAAAAGCAGTAAACTTAACCCTTTATTCATTATCCAAAACAAAGTGTTCCTTCTGGAAAACAATTATTGATGGGAAATGAAATTCAAAACATGACTATATGAAGCTTCTGAGCCAGTCTTCACGCTCAACCACAGGCCCACCAGCCCAGGCTTGTAAAAATGCTAATGGGCCTGTAAAAATCATCTCTACAGGCCAAAAGAATCAACTAAAATTTTCATAAAATTCAGCTTCGGGCCTGTAGATTCAAAAGTTTATTGTGAAGACTGCAAGTTCTCTGACTTTGACCTGAAACCCAAAGCCTCTCCTAATACATGGTATCAAACCTCTATGTTCAGGAGCACTTAAAAGTATACATCAAAATTAAATAAAATGCCCTGAAAATGTTCTGAAAAGTTCATTCTAATTACAATATTTAGAGAAAATAGATGTCATTTAGATTTTGCAAACAGCAAACAGTTACTTTTATAAGGTATATAAATTCATTACTAGCTTAAGATACATTGATTAATTATGAGTTTCTAACGCTATAGATATATTTTATTTGTGAAGTTCATGCCATCTTACCCTGGGAACAAAAATGGCAGTATTTGGGACAATTAGTATGTGACCATCCTGCATACTGGGTACACACACTAGCCCCGTATTCTGAACATTGTACTTTATCAGTACATGAAACAGAGTCATCTACCTGCACTGTTGGATGTGTGGTTGTTTCTGTTTGAAATTGGAAGAAAAACACTAGATTTGAAAGTAAAATTTGGTAAAAAGGTACTGAATTTAAAAATATAAAAGCATGAGCTCAGTATTAAAGGCATGTGAATAGTGATGCAAAGCTTGTGAACATACTATACTAAAACTAATTTTCAAATGAAATTTGGAGCATATTTTTAAACGTGAAATCACATTCAAATGTTATATAAATTCAATCAACTAAGCAATAATTCAAATTTAACCTATTTGAGCAAAATAAATGTGTGCAATGTGATGTCAGTAAACACTTGCTATGAAACATCAAAAGCTATCTCAATAAAACACCAACTATTTTTACCTTGACAAAAGCCACAATGTTTCTGGCAATTTGTTTTGGCCCATTCTCCATAAGCTGTACATACATCGGCCCCATATTCTGCACAGTCTGAGATCTTGTCTGCACATGCTTCTGTTGACTGTGCTGAAGTAGTATGCAGAGCCTGTGTTTCTGTTTATAAAAATAAAGCTTTTTTGATTCTATCTTTTAAGTGTTATTTGAGTAAATGTGTTTGTATCCAAAATTTGGACAGATGACCTATTAAACATTAAGGAGCAAAAGTAAGCATGCATCTTTTACATACACATTTCTAGTAATCTAGAACTTTTTTTTAATTGTTAGTTTTTTTTTGTTTGTTAATTAAGAAAGAACTAAACAAGAAATAGATTTTCATCATCTCATGGTTACATAAACAATGCAACTAAATAAACTGTAATATGAAACTCTTATTCACTTTATAAACAAAGACATGTTCTAATTCAAATGAAATATGGGGTACACAGTGGGGTCACAATTGAATTTGCAAAATCAGCAATTCTTTTTGTGTTTGTACATTTCATAGAGTGACATACTTGTTTATTTTAAAATGTTTTTGACTCATCTAATCAAAATGCCTTTCGAACGTTTCTTAAAGGTCCATTTCAAACAAAAATAAATGGAGAATGTGTCCAAGGGACACAAATGATGCCTCCGCTTGCATATAATGTTATAAAGGGGCATAACTCGAGAACGGTAAAAGTGATGCCACCCATATTTGAACTTGATCTGTGTTTTGGGGTAATAAGCATTGTGTATAAGGTTCATAATATTTGGTTGAGGCAAACTAAAGTTAGAGAACAGAAATCAATTTTTGGATGTACATATGTACTTGCGTACGAACGGTCAGACAGGGATAACACTTAATGCCCCCTCCAGTGACGGCAGGGGCATAAAAATCTGAACTTAATATTTGTAAATAGTTTAATTCTCACTAATGATCAGTATACAAATATATACAGGTTAAAATGACATGAAAGATTTATTTCTTAAATAGTTTTTGTCATCATCTCATGGTTACAAAAACATTGCAACTAAGTTAATAAAACTTAGCTATCAATTAAACTATCAATGTTACCTTTACAAAAGTTACAATGTTTCTGACAATTCTTTTTAGCCCAGGGCCCATAAGCTGTACAAACATCATCCCCATAATCAGCACAGTCAGTTATAACATCTGTACATGTACTTCTAGAAACTGTTGTAGCAGGTGCTGCAACTGAGTTGGTATCTGAAAATATTAAAAGTCTTTCATGGAAAAAGTAGATGTTTAGTTATAACACTAAAACAGCAATGCTCAATGTTTAAGTTGAAATGAAATGTAATAACATTCTAAGACAAGAGTGCACACGCTGAAATGTCTCGCCTGCTTATTTTTTAATCATTATTGAATAATAATGACGAGGTCAAGGTCTTCTCGCACTATTATTTTCTATGTTCATTGGTCCGTGAAATTGGGGTCAAAACTCTAATTTGGCATTAAAATTAGAAAGATCATATCATAGGGAACATGTGAACTAAGTTTCAAGTTGATTGGACTTCAACTTCATCAAAAACTACATTGACCAAAAACTTTAACCTGAAGCGAGACAGACAGAGGAACGGACGAACAAACGGACGCACAGACCGAAAAACATAATGCCCCTCTACTGTCATAGGTGGGGCATAATAACCAAAAACTGCAAAATTTCCTTAAAATTATCAATTCAGGGCAGCAACCCAGCAATGGGTTGTCTGATTTGTCTGAAAATTTAATGGGCAGATAGATCTAAACCTGATTAACATTTTTACCCCATGTCAGATTGCTCTTAATGCTTTAGTTTCAGAGATATAAGCCAAAAACTGTATTTTACCCCTATGTTCTATTTTTAGCCATGTCGGCCATGTTGGTTGGAAGGTGGGGTCATCAGACTAATTTTTTAAAACTAGATACCCTAATAATGATTGTCGCCAAGTTTGGTTAAATTTGTCTCAGTAGTTTCAGAGGAGAAGATTTTTGTGAAAGATTACAAAAATTTACGAAAAATTGTTAAAAATTTACTTTAAAGGGCAATAACTCCTTAAGGGGTCAATTGACGATTTTGGTCATGTTGACTTATTTGTAGATCTTACTTTGCTGAACATTATTGCTGTTTACACTTTATCTCTATCTATAATAATATTCAAAATAATAACCAATAAATTGCTTCGCTGAGCGCAGCTGGATACGACCGCAGAGGTCCAACCCTGAACAGTTGGGGCAAAAATGGACACAACATTTGTGCTTGATACAGGTCTACATTTGGATTGAAATTAAATGTTTGACACATAATAGGTTTCTGACATAGAATAACTATAGTCAAAGAACTTAGAATTGGTTTTATGGTTTGAATTTATATTCAATTTTTTGCTTTTGTGCAATTCACTATGCTGTTGCGAATTGCCCCACTCCCCCCCCCCCCTCTAAAAAAAAATTTCACCCCCCTTTTTTTTGGCAAATTTCTGAAATCTGTAATGAGAAAAAAAAATTGCCCCCCCCCCCCCCAATTTTTTTTCACCTCCCCTCCCCCTCCCCTTTTTCAAAAAAAAAAATCTTTCCCTCAAGATATGGTCATTATCTCAATTCAAATTTCCAATGGAGTTTGCAACCATAATTACCCATTTAAATACATCATAAAAGTGTTAAAATAGAAAATGACATACATAATCATGTCTAAAAATAATATATCATTAATCAGCATTTTTATTAGTAACTTCTAAAAATAAATTGACAGATAATCACCTCAAGACAATACAAAATTTCTTTATACATAATTTTAAAGCAGTGTAAGGGAGGTAATCCAAATTTAACATTGTACTTAAAAGTGATTGTCCATTAACAAGGAAACCCTTGTTTTTCCCCCCCAATTCCTAAACGGTTTGAGCCATTACCCCCCAAAGCCAATACTAACCATCCCTTTGTGGTATGGAAACTTCTTGTACAATTTCAGAGAGATCCATACACCGTTCCACAAGTTATTGTCTGAAAACTAGAAAAATGCTTATTTGGGCCCCTTTTTTGGCCCCTAATTCCTAAACTGCTAGGACCATAACCCCCAAAATCAATCCCAACCTTCCTTTTGTGGTTATAAACCTTGTGTTAAAATTTCATAGATTTCTATTTACTAATACTAAAGTTATTGTCCGGAAACCAAGTGTCTTCGGACGACGACGATGTGATACCAATATACGACCACAAAAATTTTTTGCGGTCGTATAAAAACTCCAAAATTTCCTTAAAATTACCAATTCAGGGGCAGCAACCCAACAACGGGTTGTCTGATTTGTCTGAAAATTTCAGTGCAGATAGATCTTAACCTGATGAACATTTTTACACCCACGTCAGATTTGCTCTAAATGCTTTAGTATCAGAGATAAAAGCCAAAAACTGCATTTTACCCCTATGTCCGCCATGTTGGTTGGCAGGCAGGGTCATCATACACATTTTTTAAACTAGATATCCTAATGAAGATTGTGGCCAAGTTTGGTAAAATTTGTCTCAGTAGTTTCAGAGGAGAAGATTTTTGTAAAAGTTAACGACAGATGCCAAGTGATGAGAAAAGCTCACTTGGCCCTTCAAACCAGGTGAGCTAAAAATTACTCAGCACATTACAAGCATTGCAACGTTCAGTGCTGTTCAGACTAATAAGGATAGTTTTAGTTATTGAATTTTACTTAATAGAAAAGAACACACCGCCCTTTACATTTAGTTTCATGCCAGTTCTATTTAGAATATTATGGATAGTATAAAAAATAAACCTCTACCTGAACAAACTTCCACTGGGCACAGATTACAAGTTTTTTGACAATTATGTTTAGACCATTCAGCATATGTTGTACAGACATCGTCACCATATGCAGAACAATCAGCTGAATCTTTACAGTTCTCTGATGGTGGAGGCTTAAAATCTGAAACAGAAAGTTTTCGTCACTGGCAAGAGTTTACAAATCACTTTCATATTCTTTTTAATACTTTTAGTATGGGGGACTATTTGGGGCCTTTTATAGCTTACTATTCAGTATGGGTTTTGACTCATAAAGACTCTCCATTAGTCTGTTCATATAGACTTTTTTTCTGTCTCAATGTTGCTAGTAACATACAACTAAATTAGTTTATATGCAAGGATGACCTCAAATCCAGATATGTAAATTTGAAAGAAGTTGTAAGGAAAAGTAGAAATACTGGTAATGAAAGTAAGTTATTTCTACTGCAGGGTATAAAGCTCAAGTCAATGGAAGACTTTTGTTACATTTTCTATCCTCAATAAGTTCCAATAATTCTTACAATGTATGGTGGGAAAGCCTTAACAATCATGCTGAATAAAGAATAAAATGTGCCATTTTCATTTACTATAAAAGTTAAATATGTACTGCTTCAAGAATCTGAATGTTCCATTAAAATTGCCAGAAAAAAACAAAGCTAGATTTGTTTGTGTATGCATATGTTGAAATGAACATTATAATGACTGAATATCAAATTATGCTCTATATTACATGAGATGAGTTATGTGAACAAAAACATTCCATACTCCATCGATATATTTAAGTATTGTTAAATTGGAAATTCCTGCTAGGCAGATCTGAAAATCAATTTGATAGGAAATCTATAGAAAATCTCTTTTTAATTCATATACCATCAAGAAAAATTTGTACATTTACCTATTGGTGCAATCTCTAGCATGATTGGTCACATGCAGAAATAGGCTAAAGGTTACTTACTATCAGGATCTTTTACACAGTAACCACAAAACTCTTTACAATTAGTATTAGACCAGCCATCATAAGATTTATCAGTACACACGTATGACTTATAGTCTGGACAGTCAGCTAACTTATCTGTACAGGATGATCCACCTATAAAGAGTGCATTCCATTAAGGCCATACAAATCTGCTTCAAGTTTTATTTATAATCCATTATCGTTTTTTTTAGAAAATCTATAACCAGAAATATAGATTACACTGACATCTTGTTTTGTACATCTGGAAAAATTTAATGATATTCCTTTATCATGAGTTATGGAACAGGAGAAAATACAAACTATTTCAGCTTTAAAAAGATGAAGTTTGTTGGGTTTTTTTTTGGGATTAAATCCTCACTGGATAAATATTAATACTTGATAAGTTCAAAGATTTTCAGAGTCCATGTAGTCTGCATAATTAAAATTCTAATTGGAATCACTCTCTTGAACCAAGATTTGATATTAAAATTCACACAATTTTGCTGCCAAGATATTTTGCTTTCCTTTCTCAATGTACAATGTAAATATATTTTTACAAGTAATACATTGATAAATTTATATACATAAAAATTCAATATATGAACATTCATGGTCCTACATTCTGTGGATACCTATATTTTGGCATTGTACAAGATCATGTTTTTCTCTGACTGTTAATGACATCTTTACACTAAATCCAAAGAATTTTGGATGTGTACTGATTGATCTTTAAGTCTTAGATACATGATTTTTTATTAGTTGTTATTGGCTTTGAACTAGCTTTCAGTAACTGTGAAAAAAAAAATGAGTGGTGTATGATTCATCTGTGTGACAATGATCTATAACGATTTCCTGACGGCTTCTTATCATCCATAGTTTGGATTGGCATTTCAATGTTTTCTATAAGGACTGCTCTTACATACCATGGCACCACCAAGTCACATATAAATCAATCAGACTTTAGAGAAATCTTGGGTAAGGGAAAATATAATAGAAGTGGTTATCCCTAACAAACAAGTACACTTTCATGGTCACTTACCTGAAGGGAAAATTGAGTAATAGTACAGTCTAACCTCATTAAGTGGAAGTCAAAGGGAAGTATTTGACTTATCCGAGGTTTGACTCATCTGAAGTCGAGTGTGTCATTATAAATTTAGAATGCATGACATACGGTATGAAATTTGTGTAAACTAGATATTTTTTGCATTGTGCCTTTTTTGAGATGACAATTCATAATTGTGTATTTAAGCTTCATATTTTTCGGTCTGAAATATTAATTAAACACACAAGTGCAGATAAATAACATTCACAAATTAAATCAATACATAAATATTTACAATAAATTATGGAATCACTCGCGGAACGAAACAAGTCCTGAAAGATCACTGGTGAGGGTTGTCTGCTTTGCATTCAACTATTGTAAATTTGTCATAAATGTCTTAAGCCTTTTCATGATTGTAAATAATGAATTTTCATGCACATCTACATAGTATGCCCTAATTAACTACAAAGTTTCATGAAATTCTGTTGTGTGAATTCAGAGGAGTTGCGATGACAAACTGTTGCAGCAGTATATTTAGGTCAAAATTCATAGTGGCTTAATTCCTAGAAAAAAAACTGAATCATAATTTCCTGTCAATATGCACATCTACACAGTATGTCCTTGCTATCTACAAAGTTTCATGAAATTCTGTAGTGTGGTTCCAGAGGAGTTGAGATGACAAACTATTGCAGTAGTACTGTGGATTCATTATTATTCGCTGGATACCAATTTTCGTGGATTTCGTGGGTGCAGGTGAACCACGAAATTAAATGTTCAACGAATAACAAAATTTCTATAGGCTTGTATGCAGACTTCGGCAAAACCACGAAATTAAATATCCATGAACATGTAAGTTTTCCTTAATCCACGAAAATTGGTACCCACGAAAATAAATGAATCGACAGTATATCTAAGCCAAAATTCTAAATTCAAAGGGGCATAACTCCTTGAAAAAAATTGAATCATAATTTCCTGTCAATATGCACATCTACATAGTATGTCGTTATTACCTACAAGTTTCATGAAATTTTGTAGTGTGGTTTCAGAGGAGTTGCGATGACAAGAACAGGACTGACAGAAGGACTGACGGACAAACTGACGAACGGACGAACAGACAGACAGGTCAAAAACATTACACCCTACAGAACAAAGTTCTGTGGAGGTGTAAAAATCATTTTGACATCACAGAATGAAGGGAGATCACCAAAATTCTTCAATACAGACTTACTTAGACTTGAGTCACATGGTTTGGCCATACACATTTCTTGTTCTCCTGGTTTCTGATCTGCTACACAGTTACTGTCTTCTATTGGCTGACTGGAGTCATGTGATGCATAACATTTGACCTGTCTTGTTTTTACACCTTTACTGCAAGTTTTTGAGCACTACAAGGGAAAAATGTTGTTGAAAGGTCCTTCCAACCTTCATGGCCGACATGGTTAAAAATAGAACATAGGGGTAAAATGCAGTTTTTGGTTTATATCTCTGAAACTAAAGCATTTAGAGCAAATCTGACAGGTGGCAAAATGTTCATCAGATTTAGATTTATCTGCCTTGAAATTTTCAGACGAATCCGACAACCCGTTGTTGGGTTGCTGCCCCTGAGTTAGTAATTTTACAAAAATTTTGCAGTTTTTTTTTATTATCTTTGATATCATTATAATATCTAATATCTAATACTATTAATTATGATTTTAACCTTATTTTACATGATTTCCAAAGCATCAGTAAATACAGGTGAGCGACACAGGCTCTTGAGAGCCTCTAGTTGATTGAAACAAAAGGGGTTGGCATCTATGCTACACGATATACCATACCACTACACGATATACCACTAGGTATATCAACATAGGATAGGGGAAATAACTCAAATTATCTTATATTTTAATATAAAACATCACTTTTTCTAAAAAATTATATTCACTCTGAGAGTTTATTGTATTTATAGTCCAAATTATTCAAGTTAATTAGACCCATTTTCATTGTGAAAAATACTCTAATATATAGTTTAAAAAATGTGAATTATTTCCCTTTGGTGACAAATAATTTAGCTTTATTAACAAAAATTACACACAAGAAGTTTAATAGTTTTTTTTAAAGTTAAATATAATGGAATTCATGAAGATGATCATTGATTTATACTGAAATTAAGCTAATTTGAATTTAAGATTATAAAGCCTATTTGACTGAAATATGTTATTAATTAGTTTTCATCATAGAAGAAAGTAGGACCTACTCTCTAAACAGGGAACTGTTCCGGAACAAATAATGGAAGGAAAATCTTAAGGAGTTATTGCCCTTTATAGTCAATTTTTTACAATTTTCATAAATTTTGTAAATTTTTGTAAATTTTTACAAAATATTTTCCACTCTAACTACCGGGCCAAGTTCATTATAGATAGAGACAATAGTAAGGAGCAAGAATGTTCAGTAAAGTAAGATCTACAAACACATCATCATCACCAAAACACAATTTTGTCATGAATCCATCTGTGTCCTTTGTTTAATATGCACATAGACCAAGGTGAGCGACACAGGCTCTTTAGAGCCTCTAGTTTTTTTTTGTAAATTCAGTTAAAAGAAAGTTAAGAAAATCTTGGAAAACATATTATAGATTTTAATTGTGAGCACAAACATACAAGCTCTTTATTATTTTGTAAACCATTAGTTTTCAGTTGTAGATAACGATGGAACTTAATAACTGTTTACTTGTGACAATCTGGTATTCAAAAAGTTTACAAAGAATTTTTAAAAGTATACAAAGAGACAAATTTTCTAAACTAGATACCCTTATAATGATTATGGCCAAGTATGGTTAAATTTGTCTCATTAGTTTCAGAGAAGAAGATTTTTGTAAAAGATTACAAAAATTTACAAAAAATTGTTAAAAATTGTCTATTAATGGCAATAACTCCTAAAGGGGTCGACTGACAATTTTGGTCATGACAACTTATTTGTAGATCTTACTTTGCTGAACATTATTGATGTTTACAGTTTATCTCTATCTAAAATAATATTCAAGATAATAACCAAAAACTGCAAAATTTCCTTAAAATTACCAATTCAGGGGCAGCAACCCAACAACAGGTTGTCAGATTTGTCTGAAAATTTAAGGGCAGATAGATCTTGACCTGATAATCAGTTTAACCCATGTCAGATTTACTCTAAATGCTTTAGTTTTAGAGATATAAGCCAAAATCTACATTTTACCCCATTGTTCTATTTTTAGCCATGGCGGCCATCTTGGTTGGTTGGCGGGGTCATCGGACACATTTTTTAAACTAGATACCCCAATGATGATTGTGGCCAAGTTTGGTTAAATTTGGCCAAGTGGTTTCAGAGGAGAAGATTTTTGTAAAAAGATAACGACGAGGACGACGGACGATGGACGCCAAGTGATGAGAAAAGCTCTCTTGGCCCTTCGGGCCAGGTGAGCTAATAAAAAAGTAGTAAGATTTCCATAATTTGTGATTTTTTTTATAAGATTTAATAATAATCATACTAAATTATACTAATTACTAGGCACATAGTGACCTATAAATGACTTCCTTTATTTATGACAACCAAGATTCAAAGTTGATGAGCAAGTGAGGAACACCGACCATAGCGCTGAATGGAAGTCTTGTTTACAATATTTGCAAAAGGCATAATCATTGATAATGTTCCGGTTTCAGATTTTGTAGTCCGAGTTTACTTTCCTTACTGCAGAAATTCATTGTTCCATCAGACACCGTAAAATTGAAAAAAAAAGGCTTGCTGCATTCATTTATTATTTGGAATCAAACAGGAAATTGATAGGTTGATTTCTTTTAAAGATGGTCCCGAGAAACCTGAAAAAATTTAATAATTTGAAATACTCTAAGTGCTTATTGTTACACAATTATAACCAAAGATGAAGCCTCCCAATGATCTCTAAACAGGGAACTGTTCCGGAACAAATAATGGAAGGAAAATCTGTAACAAATAGACTGTTAACTGTAACATCGTAATATTGGTCCAAAATTTGTGACAATTACAGAAAAAATCATATTGGTTGGCTGCTATGCATGTAGATGTGTATTAATTTGGCTGCTTAACAACCAGCGGCACCTCCCCAACATGCAATACCAGTGGAAGGATATGAGAATGGGTAAACCAGGCTTTTTGAAATATTTGGAAGCAAAATATATTATTGAAAAACAAAAAATTAAAGACATGATTAAGTTCCTCTTTGCTTTTTGTATTTTTTTCTCTGTTTAGGGTAGTAGGGTATTTCAAAACAAAAAAGAAAAGCATCATAACAAGACTCAAAAAGATGAGAAAAAATTAGTAAGGATTAGATATAAAAAAAATACTGTTAAGGGCATTCTTTTTGCTTATTTGAGGATTTGGATAAAATCATGAAAATATCCCCCTTTCAGTAATTTCCCTAGTGTGTTGGGCATCTTGCTTGGGGGTTTTGGGGGCATGCACCCCCCCTGAAAATTTTGAAAAATTAAATGCAAAATCCTGCATTCTGAGGAGGAATAACTGCATGAAATGCCAAAAAAAATAGCAATTTTTTTAAGGAAAAGGATTAAAATGAAAGAAGAATGTGTTTGAGGAAAAAGCTTGTATTTGAATTTCATTTGTAGCATCAGTGTCACTAGGTTCATGATCATCATTAGAACAATGTTTGAGACTCAGATGGAACAGCTTGAATTTGAATTTCACTTGCTTCAGTTTCAGACGATCGAGGCTCACTGTCTATAGACGCAGGGTTTTGGGAAGAGAGTAGAAATTACTTTTTAATTCCAAATGCTTCTAGCTTCCCACATTTACTGCCATTCGTTGCCTTTAACTTCTTTGTGTAGTATTTAGAATTATGAGACTTGATCGTTCTTTAATGTTTGTATACATATGTTAATTTTTTGCTTTGTCATGGAAATAAACTTTCTTTTGTTTCAAGTGCAAAGCTGACCAGGAATATTGTAGATTGCAATGCAATCATCACAATATAGCTGCCAAAATAACGCTCAGAGATTTGTAAACAAAAAACAACGATACAACAACAGTAAAATATCGCGACGATGTCTATATACGATTTGGAATTTTAGAGCTGAAAATTGGAAAATAAAGAGCATATTTCTCTTTGGGAATGGGACCGAAATCCGGACCCAAAATCAGGGTTGGAAAATCACTGCCTTTTGAGAATTTGCTTTGTAAAGAAGATCAGAATTAATGACAAGAAAACCAAAAAAATTAACCTTTGCAGGAAGGTCTGGCCCAGGAAATAATGCCATTTATCATCTCTGAAATTATTTAGACAACTTTCCAGAATTATATCAGATAGACTTACACAAGACCAATCTGCAGCCTTCCATACCCCAGGACAAGGTGTTATATTACAGGATTTGGATGTCTGTGGTTTTTTTTGTCCTCTACAGTGACTTTCTGCTACAGGAGTGTGGCTTCCATGTTGTAAGACTGCACAATGAACTGTACGGTGTGTAATACCACCTCCACATGTTCTTGAACAAGATTCCCAATTACCTGCAGACCAACTGTTAAAAGAAATTTTATATTTACTATAGTTGGCATATTACTTTTAAAAGTTTTTTTCTTTTTCAAATCATTCTATTTGATGCAATTGAATGAAAATTAACACCCCTTCCAATATGTCCAGAGTCAGTGGTTGTTTTTGTTACTTAAAAAAGAAAGTGGTGTTCGATGGTTTTTGTTTAAATTATTCATAACTTTTAGGACGATTTAGAGTTTGAAAAGATACCTGTCTATTATTGAAGACTGTATGTTGCCATCAAATGTCTTTCAGTTAATTTTGTAGTTGGGTTGCTGTTTCATTGATGTATGAAAACAAATGAATCCACAGTTACTTACCCAGGAGGACAAGGATTGCCATTACAAGCTTCTGGTGATTCAGAAGGCTTACTGAATAAATTACAATGGAAGTCATCAGTTGGCTGGTTACTGTTAACCTGTACACAATTTACCACTGGTATTGAATGTCCTGTAAAATAAAGTACTGGGGTATGCAGTAGGAAAGTATCAGTGTTTCATAACTTATCTCTTGTTAATCCAGAAAAAATATAGTTTAAAGTACATAAAAAATATTTTGTTAACTTTTCCATGCACATGGAGGCACATTTCACTTAATACCAAAGATGTGTGCACTGTCAATGCTTTAACATATCAATAAAACTAATTTAAATATGAATTCAATTCTGATATTAACAAATTTTGTTAACAAACACAGAAATCAGTAAATTACACACACTGTAAAATAAACCACATATTTTGTGCACATAGTTCATATAAGCAGACCAATAATTGTGGGTTTTATTGGGTCATAAAAGTATTGTGCAACCGGAATGCCAGAAACATAATAAATTCACATCTATAGTTAAAAAAAAATTCTTTCACAGCATTCAACATTCACATTATAAACTTCAAGACTGGTCATTGGCTTCCCGAGCAATTTTCTATTTCTGGTTGAATCTAAAAATAATTGTACCTGAACAGATTGACCATCATATGACCATTCCACAGATTCACAATATAATAAACAGCTGCGCCATGAGCGCATGATACGCCCGTCGTCTTGTGTGTGAATTTTTATGCAATAAGCATAAATAGTTTCTGACATACGGCGTGACATGCGAAAACCCCCTTTTTTTTTTACAAAAAACTCAATATCTCTAAAATAAAATTTTGAATCAAAACCAAAAAGTATACAGATCTTTAGATTAATATAACTAAGAAGTGTGTAAAATTTTAAGCAATAATCATAAATCATTTTTTGAGATACGGCGCAACATGTGAAAACCCCCCTTTTAAAAAAAAAAACCAATATCTCAAAAATAAAATTTTGAATCAAAACAAAAAAGTATACAGATCTTTAGATTAATATAACTAAGAAGTGTGTTAAATTTTAAGCAAAAATCAAAAATCGTTTTTGAGATACGGCGCGACATGTGAAAACTCCCCTTTTAAAAAAAAAAAAATCAATATCTCAAAAATAAAATTTTGAATCAAAACCAAAAAGTATACAGATCTTAAGATTAATATTACTAAGAAGTGTGTAAAATTTTAAGCAATAATCATAAATTGTTTTTGAGATACGGAGTGACATGTGAAAACCCCCCTTTTAAAAAAAAAAACCAATATCTCAAAAATAAAATTTTGAATCAAAACAAAAAAGTATACAGATCTTTAGATTAATATAACTAAGAAGTGTGTTAAATTTTAAGCAATAATCAAAAATCGTTTTTGAGATACGGCGCGACATGTGAAAACACCCCTTTTAAAAAAAAAAAAAATCAATATCTCAAAAATAAAATTTTGAATCAACACCAAAAAGTATACAGATCTTAAGATTAATATTACTAAGAAGTGTGTAAAATTTTAAGCAATAATCATAAATTGTTTTTGAGATACGGCGTGACATGTGAAAAACCCCTCCCTCTTTTTTTTTTACAAAATACTCAATAACTCAAAAATAAAATTTTGAATCATCACCAAAAAGTATACAGATCTTAAGGTTAATATAACTAAGAAGTGTGTAAAGTTTTAAGCAATAATCTTAAACTGTTTTTGAGATACGGCGCGACATGTGAAAAACCCCTCCCCCTTTTATAACAAAATACTCAATATCTCTAAAATAAAATTTTGAATCATCACCAAAAAGTATACAGATCTTAAGATTAATATAAATAAGAAGTGTGTAAAGTTTTAAGCAATAATCATAAATTGTTTTTGAGATACGGTGCGACATGTGAAAAAAACACACACCTGTTTTAGTTACTAAGTCCCGTAACTCAAAAAGTTTTAATCTTATTTTCACCAAAAAGTATACAGATCGTTTGACCATCATAAGAAACAACTATGTTAAGTTTCATGAAATTTGGATAAGTTATTCTCAAGTTACGGTGCGACATGTTTACGCCCGACAGACAGACGGACGGATGCCGGACATTTGTATAACATAATACGTCCCGTCAAAAATTTGACGGGCGTATAAAAACAAGTCAATGTGGTATGATTGCCAATACGACAACTATCCATCAGTGACCAACTGACGTTGATGTAAGAAACTTGAAGTCTACAAAATCTTGAAAGAACCTTTGATACTGGTAGAAAGGTTGGTGTCTCAAGACAGGTTCACAACATAACAGGAACCTTATATCAAATCTTATAAAATGATTTTTCATTTTCATAGATCACTTTATTTAGTATGTAGTAAGTATAAATTACCATGCCCACAAGTCTGACTACAGGATCCTGGTGTTTTAACCCATTTATAAGCAGACTGTGAACCACCAGATGGGGTGTGGTATGTATAGGTTACATCTGGACTAGTTCCTACATAATCTGATCCATAATCTCTCCAGACCTACAAGTAAAGAGACAGGTGAACACTTGGAAAATTAACTTTTCTGCACCACTGCTGAATACCTACAATTTGTTTTTCTTATAAATCTGTTGTAGAGCCCTTGAATGGTTAAACTTCCTAATGAAATGTGTATGGTGTAAAGGGGAATGGGGAATGCATACATCTGACAGACTTGTCAAGTCACAACAGGAGATTTGAAAATTTTCAGCTGGAGTTTGGGCCTCATAACTGGAGATTTTTTATTGACATATTTATCGCCGTTTTCATTGTTTATTTTGATGATAAAGCTACATATTTCCCCTTTTTTTCAGATAATAGTATTACTATTAATGTATTATCTCTGTATTGTTACCATGTGAAATATTTGTCAACACTAAACTATACTATTTGTATGTGATTTTTTTCCTTTCCTGGTATTTGTCATCATTAGTGTGTTTCTCAATTCCATCATCCAATATATATTTATGTGTTTGATAGTGTTATTATATTTTTCTAAATTAGATATAGCCTGATTTAGCAAAAACACTCACACAATCATTGTATATAGACAATGTAGATCTTACAAATAAGATTTCAATTTAAGCATTGAAAAGAAGTATAGATCTCTCAAATAATTTTCTAAATAATATTTTTTTATTTTTCCTAAGACATTTAAAATCATTAAACTACCATCCTTATATGATTCTTTGTTCAATTTGTATTTCATTTATATTCTTTTATCAACTGATATTGTTTTAAGGAGGGTAGCTTAAAACATGATAAAACAAGGGAAGTAACCCGAAATTTTTTTTTTAAGTGTTTTCAAATACACAAAGCTTTTATTACATTACGGCAGTTAGCCTGAGGTAAAAATCTTTGATTAATAGTATGTTTGACACTTAAGTTGTCAAGTGAAGCCATATAATTATACAAGTTCTCTAATTTTTACAGGTAAAAATTATCTTCATCAGTGATACAAAAACGTAATTAATGTTGACATCGATGGTAATAAAAAACGACGGGTTTGAAATTTAGAAAAAAAAAAGGAAGATTTGTATTATCAACGGGAGGGATGGAAGAGGGCTTAAAAAATCGGGAGATTTTGACTCCCGACGGAAGAATCACGTCTGGGAATGGTGTATTGGTGCAATTATGGAAAAAAGGCATTATGCAATGGTGAACATTCAAAGCAATCTACTCCTTTTGTAATTTGTAGACTTTATGTAAGTATTGAAAATAGAAAGTTCAGTAAGGGCTATATTTGGCCACGAATATTAAGTCAATTGTTTCAAGTTAAACAATATTTCAACTTGATGAAAAGATATGTAAGACAATGGAATAAAAATATTTTTGTATAACTTTTCTTATAAGGTGTTTATATTTACTACCCAAATAGGCTGAAAGTAAAGAGAGATTTCTGTGGAGTATGACAAAATTGTTCGGATTTCAACCCAATTTAAGTCTAGGAAACATAGAGCGCAGGCTTTGACAAACTAAATATTCAAGTGAGATATTAAAAATGTTATAACAACCATTATGGTGGACACATGCGCTCTATGTTTCCCATCTAAAACATAAATGGAAGTTTACCCGTTTTCATTGCATTTTCGTGGAAAATCAAAATGAGTGCTATTTGTGATGTTAGGAACTCAAGTTCTTAAAACTCAACAAAAAGACATATTTCCTACCTAGTCATTGTATTAGCTATGATTCAGTGTGATATTGGTCAATAAATCCTAATTTTGTAATTGTAGCTAGAAATAGGGGCTATTTTAGGGTCTTATCGAGCCTACTCTAAGTTATCCCCAATCTTTGTAAATAATCTGCATTATTGATAATTTTGAATTGTACAATCTTATTTGATTGGATGAGGTAAGGGGGAATAGTGTATAGTATAGAGTAATGTGGAGTGCAATAGTGAATGGTGTAACATGGAAGTTTACCCAGATCATGTGTTTTTATACTGATAAGTTGGTTACCTGTGCCTCAACATTAGCTGGTAATGGGCCATTTATTTCTATCTTTTCTGGACCTTGTCGTCTGTACTTTGCAACAACACCACTGCCTGAATATGTCCCTGAACTAGATTGAGAGTTTCCATTCTTACTGAAAAGTCTTTTTCCATTAACTTGTACACCTGTAAAAAAACAGAAATTATTCAGTATGAGGAAAATTCAGCTACAATAGAAAATAATATGTTCAACAAAATGATTTCCTTTGTTTTAATTTGTTTTTATGGGCATTGTTTATTTCATGATATTTTTTTTTACAAGTATAACAATAATGCAAGTGTTGGAATCCTAACATACCCTAACTCTTAATTCAAAGTATCAGAAAACAGGAAGTAAGATTCTCACAGATCAGAAAGGTGTTCACATGTTACATGATGCCAACTCCCTCAGGCAAAGTTGACCTCAGATTTATTTGGCTATTATTTTTAGGTCCTTTTTGGTCATAAAGCTCTTTAACTGTATCTGTTCTTATACATCCTTGGCTTTGAAAATATTCAGCTTTGAGGGTTTCTGATGAAGGTAAATCCGGAAGTGCTTCGGACGCATAAAATTTATATAGTGTTATTTTCACTTTTTTACAACTCATCACTGCCAAGCTGTAGTACTTGAGAAAAGTGTACTTGATGATTATTTTTTAAGGTTCTTTGAACATATTAAAAACGAATATTATGTACAATGAAAATATTTGTTATAAGTAAAATTTGTAAGATATTGGTCTCACAATTGTAATACATTTTGTATCTCAGTTAAACACATGCGTCTATTATTTTTCCACTAAATAAAACAACAAAACAAACTAAAGAACATGAGTGTGTCAGATTTTGTTATAAAAAGATAGATCACAAATGTATGTGTGAACTTGTGTGTTTTTGTATTCACACATAACAAATTTGTAAACATAAAGTAAACTAGAGGTTCTAAAGAGCTCATCTTGGTCTATGAGCATATTCGGCAAAGGACACTCTCCAACATGGTAGACGAGAATAGAATTCATGACAAAAATCTCTGTTTTGTCAATCTTGTATTGCTGATCATTCAGTCTGTTTAGTTTCCATCTATCTTTTTTAGTTTTTGATCAAAACACAAAGAGGATAAAAAAAATCCTCATTCAAGGGCAATCACTCCTATAAAGAGTGACAGTCTACTAACTATATTGGCAAAATTTGACTTGTTAGTAGATCTTGCCTTGCTTATCATTTTAGTGATTTAAAGTGTCTATTTATCTATTATAATTTTTTATCATATAAGGCAAAATACAAAAAAAATGGTACAAATTGTCATTAAAGGGCAATAACTCCAATAAAGAGTCGTCAAACGATTTCCTCCGTATTGTCTTAATTGTAGATCTTGTCGTGTTGATCATTTTTGCTTATTTAAGTTTCTATTTATCTATTATAATTTTTAAGATATAAGGCAAAAACGCAAAAAATTAGTAAAAATCATCATCAAAGGGCAATAACTCTAATAAGGAGTCGACTGGCGATTCCAACCACTAAACTTATTTGTAGAACTTGTCTTGCTGATTATTTTTGCATTTTAAAGTTTCTCTCTATCTATTATAGTTTTCAAGATAATAGGCAACTAGAGGCTCTAAAGAGCTTGTGTCGTTCACCTTGGTCTATGTGCATATTCAACAAAGGACACTCTCCAACATTGTAGACGAGAATAGAATTCATGACAAAATCTCTGTTTTATTGATCTTGAATTGCTGATCATTTAGTCTGTGTAGTTTCTCTTCATCTTCTTTAGTTTTTGCTCAAAACACAAGAGGGTAAAAAAAATCCTCATCTAACCATTTCGCTGACGAATCCTGGTTTACCGGGATTCATGCTTCAGACAGCTGACGATGAGTCCCGGTTTACCGGGATTGGAATACCTCTTTTACATTTCCCGCTAAAAACATTGGAAACACAAGTTATCTTTCTTTGTTGAAAACCCGGATGAAAGTGTAAACATGGTGCTTCAGTTTGTTGAAAACCGTGTCAAAATCAGATGAAATTTACGGATTTTACTAAAATTTGAAATAAGGAAACATTTTTTTTTGAAAGAATATGGAAGAATTGAAGCCAGACTAGTATACTTTTTTGACATAAAATGCCGTTTTATGTACAAAAACATTTGAATGGACATCGTTCGATATCGATCAGTGTAAGGAATTTGTACAGCCTTGTTGAATTTTTCAAACTTTTGCCGTTTTGGGTTAAAAAATTACGATTTTGGGTCAAAAAGTTGAATTTCGAGAATTTCATCTCTCTAATGCTGAAAATTTGCAAATTTTGATTTTTAATGAAGAAAAAATGATCAAAACAGTAACAAAACTGTGTCCATGGTGTAATTGAATAATATAAAGACATGAATAACTACAGACAAGTTTTTATTGATATTTAATATGAAGATCTCCCACTTGTGTCATAATAGCCAGGGAAGCCATCGTCTCAGAGTAGCTTCTGTCAGGCTGGCTATCGGTGAAAGGGTTAAGGGCAATCACTACTATAAAGAGTGACAGACTATATTGGAAAAATTTGACTTGTTAGTAGCTCTTGCCTTGCTGATCATGTTTGTGATTTAAAGTGGTTATCTATTTATTATAATTTTTATCATATAAGGCAAAACGCAAAAAAAATGGTACAAATAGTAATTAAAGGGCAATAACTCAAATAAAGAGTTGTGGGATGATTTCCTCCATATTGTCTTAACTGTAGATCTTGTCTTGCTGATAATTTTTGCTTATTTAAGTTTCTATCTATCTATTATAATTTTTGAAGATATAAGGCAAAATCGCAAAAAATTGGTAAAAATAGTCATCAAAAGGCAATAACTCTAATAAGGAGTCAACTGACTATTTCAACCATGGGGTCTTATTTGTAGACTTGTCTTGCTAATCATTTTTGCATTTTTAAAAAGTTTCTCTATTTATTATAGTTTTCAAGATAATAGGAAAAATGGTAAAATTTGTCATTTAAGGGCAATAACTCCTATAAGAAGTCGTCTGACAGTTTTGACGTATGTGAACAACTGGTAGAGCTCAGAATTCTGAATAGTTTTGCTTATGTCAGAATTTTTCTATTTATAACGGTTTTCAAAATAATAGACAAAACTTGCATTTTACCCCTATGTTCTATTTTTAGCCATATCTGCCATCTTGGTTGGCAAGCAGGGTCATCGGACACATTTTTTAAACAAGATACCCAAATGATGATTGTGGCCAAGTTTGGTTAAATTTGGCCCAGTAGTTTCAGAGGAGAAGATCTTTGTAAAAGTGAATAGACGACGACGGACGACAGACGCCAAGTGATGAGAAAAACTCACCTGAGCTAAAAATTGGGTTTGCTCCTGGAAAAGGGATCTCCTATCATTATTTAACCTAAGAATTTTGATACTTATAAAGTAACATTCACTAAAAAATCTCTCTAAATCAAAAATTCTTAATTCAAAGTCTCTTTGTATAGTTTTAAAAATTCTTTGTAAACTTTTTGAATACCAGATGGTCACAAGTAAACAGTTATTAAGTTCCATCGTTATCTACAACTGAAAACTAATGGTTTACAAAATAATATAGAGCTTGTATGTTTGTGCTCACAATTAAAATCTATAGTATGTTTTCCAAGATTTTCTTTAACTTTCTTTTAACTGAATTTACAACAAAAAAAAAAGTAAAGAAAACGTCTTCACAAGATTACCAAAATTGTCAAAGTCCAATTTTATCTTAGAAATTCATGACACCGCTTTTACTAGTTAAAATGTATGGATTATTTGTGTGTTTCATGCAGCAACTTCAATCAATCATAATTTCTTTATATATTCTATGCATTAATCATCATTATGTTTACAACCAGAATATACTTACTTAAGTGGCAGAACTGGTTTAAATTTGTGATAACAATGCCTGTAGCTCCTTTTGGTACAGTTACAAATGTAACATATTCTGAAATACAAACATAAATTAGTCATATCTGAATTTAAAACACAAATCAAATATTTTTCTACCTCGAGTAAGAAATAAAAAAAAGTGTAATAAAATCATCTAATCATATATCAATTCTTCTATCAGTTTTTATCTATGTGTTGGTGAATAAGTACCCAAGAACTGTACTTGATCATTAAGGGCTTTGCAAGGAAAAAATGTACCGAATTTGGGCTTGTATAATCCGAGGTGTTTTACTCTAAAATTAAGATTGCTAGGCTGGGGTGCATAGTAAGATAAGCAAGAAATAAGAGAAAAGCTTGATTTCGCGAGGTTTGTTTACATTCCGCCATATTTGTTATTAAGATTGTTGAGGGCTCCCTAATTATTTTCTAAATTAATAATTAATCTAATCCATATTTATATGCAATTGTAATTCAAAATCCAATATTAACTGATAAATATCACAATTAAATGATGTATTACAAATTTCTCGTTTCTTTTCATAGCATTGCATAACATAAACTGGAATCCACTTGTATTTATGTAATGAAAAAAGTGTACAAATCAGCTGGGGACCAGCTTATGCATAATGATGTATAAACTACAAAACATAATTGTTAAAGTCATTCGTTCTGATTTGGTGTTTCATACTGACCCATGTGTTCTGCTTGAGCTAGAGATCCTGCAAACAATAATATGATGGATAACGGTATTTTACTAAAGGGCGGAACTGTTTTACTTTCAGTTGTATTCTAGTGATATCTATCTATATCTATCTGCACACTCTCACCGTATTTATTTTTGATTTACATGAGGTATTCATACTTTCGGTTAATGTCAAACACAACTTTCCTATTTTTTGTTGTTGTTGTGATTTTGACTTATTTTGACACTTGTGAAAAAGTTTTTTCCCTGAATTCTCGTGGCAAAAAGGGGTGTGTGGACAATCTACCAGTGTGGAGGGGGGGGGCACTTCAATACTTAATTGATAGGGGGTGTCGCTGGGGTTCTGTTACGCCACCCTTTTCATATAATTTAGATCTTAAAAATGTATACCTTTTCATATATTGCGTAGGTAAAATTGTAACCTTTTCCCATATTGGTTGGGATTCGTGTGGTATGTTGGAACTTTATCGACCTCATCATATACCATAAATTGGGTTATTTTGGTTGTAGTTTTATTTTGGTTTATTTGGTGTCTCCAATGAAAGTGCCAAAATTAAACACACGAAAATAAAGCAAACACTAAAAATTGAAACGCCAAAATCGCGTACCGGTACGACACTATCGTTATGTTAATTGTTGGGGAAACTATTATATCTTCATATATTATATCACACATGTCATAAATATGCCAGGCTATTGCTTATTAGACGCTGTTATTGGTAATTAGAATAAAAAAAATCCTTGTAATCCTTTATCTTCTATTAATTAACATTTACTGCCAGTGGCATAAGGATTACAATTTAAATCCTTGATCGTCAATAGGTTAACGTGTACTACAATAGAGATGATTACAATTTATTTCATATGATATTTGTAAAAAATAAATAATCTATTTAAAAAGTGATTTTAATGTATAAGACTTTATTTCATATTTTCTTTCAGCTTTGAACCACGATATACGGAATTATTTGCAATTGCTTCAATCCGATTCCTTCATTAAGTTAACTTTGTCTTGTTTCTAGTTTGAGAAATTCAATGATATTTTGTCAATAAATGGGTAAATAAAGGCAAATTTGAATGAGGCTGCTCACTTCTGTTGTTCCAAAATTAAACATATCAATTGGACGAAGCACCAAAATTACACACACCAAAATAAAACACATACCTTTCCAGAGAAAACTGCCCAAATAACCTGACGCCAAAATTTTCCAATTTATGGTATTTCTGATAATTTTCCCCACCTATTCTCATATTTTCAAGCTGGAAAAGGTGACCTATTCCAGCAGCACGTCCTATCACCTTGTATAATATAGGTAGTGCCCCCCCCCCCCTCCCATACATACTTAGACTTAGGACAATCAGTTAACCTCTAGATCACTTTTGATTTTTGTAGCTTATGGCTGTTGTCTCATTGACATAATACTACAAATCTCATTTTATTCAGGTGTGATATGAGGCATGTTACCCCTGTGGAACCTTACAACTCTTCACGAAGCAATAAACTAAAAATTAGCCATTTGTTTACTGATGCCCTACTGTTAGCTTTTCCTTCTTTTTACAATCACCAGGGTTTTTCCAGTTTCTCCCTTTTTCACTGTACCCCTTACTATGAGCTTTCCACTTGTGTACCTCCCCTATGTCTCCATCTATACCTTCAGCTACAGTTCCCTTATTCATTATAAGGTATTCCTTTTTTTATACCTTCCCTTGTGTTTTGTAGAGCTCCCTCTATTTACTATTATTAGCTTTTGTTTTTCATACCATTCCTATGTCTCTCCCAACATCCCAAACATTCCCTTAATCCACACCACAGTTCCTTTACTGTTATACTGTTGAAATGTCTTCTTCCAACTTTCTCCCTTAACATTGTAGCATTACTTACAATAAACATTTTTTTAATATCACTCTGGCCTTGCGTTCATGTAAATTTCAAGCAAGATTATTTGTACTGAGTCAAGTTTTATTACCGTGAGCCCTAGTGTCAGTACCAAATGCTCCACCCTGACTTCATTACTTACAGATAGTTTCTCCTTCTATATAGTGACCCCTGTGTTATGCCAAGTACGCCCTTCCATTGTATCCCTACTTACTATTAGCTATTCTTCTATATAGTGACCCCTGTGTTCTACCAAGTATGCCCTCCCATTGAATCCCTACTTACTATTAGCTATTCCTTCTATATAATGTAAATGACCTCTGTGTTCCTGACAAGTATGCCCTTCCATTGTATCCCTACTTACCATTAGCTATTCCTTCTATATAATGACCCCTGTGTTCCTGACAAGTACGCCCTTCCATTGTATCCCTTCTTACTATTAGCTATTCCTTCTATATCATGACCCCTGTGTTACTGACAAGTATGCCCTTCCATTGTATCCCTACTTACCATTAGCTATTCCTTCTTTATAATGACTTCTGTGTTCTACCAAGTACTCCCTTCCATTGTATCCCTACTTACTATTAGCTATTCCTTCTATATAATGACCTTTGTGTTCTGCCAAGTACGCCCTTCCAGTGAATCCCTACTTACTATTAGCTATTCCTTCTATATAATGACCCCTGTGTTCTACCAAGTACACACTTCCATTGTATCCCTACTTACCATTAGCTATTCCTTCTTTATAATGACTTCTGTGTTCTACCAAGTACGCCCTTCCATTGTATCCCGACTTACTATTAGCTATTCCTTCTATATAATGACCTTTGTGTTCTGCCAAGTACGCCCTTCCATTGTATCCGTTCTTACTATTAGCTATTCCTTCTATATAGTGACCCCTGTGTTCTGCCAAGTACGCCCTTCCATTGAATCCCTACTTACTATAAGCTATTCCTTCTTTATAATGACCTCTGTGTTCCTGACAAGTACGCCCTCCCATTGAATCCCTGCTTACCATTAGCTATTCCTTCTATATAATGACCCCTGTGTTCCTGCCAAGTACGCCCTTCCATTGTATCCCTACTTACTATTAGCTATTCCTTCTATATAATGACTCCTGTGTTCTACCAAGTACGCCCTTCCATTGTATCCCTTCTTACTATTAGCTATTCCTTCTATATAGTAACCTCTGTGTTCTGCCAAGTACGCCCTTCCATTGTATCCGTACTTACTATTAGCTATTACCTCTTTATAATGACTTCTGTGTTCTACCAAGTACGCCCTTCCATTGAATCCCTACTTACCATTAGCTATTCCTTCTATATAATGACCCCTGTGTTCCTGACAAGTATGCACTTCCATTGTATCCCTACTAACCATTAGCTATTCCTTCTATATAATGACCCCTGTGTTCCTGACAAGTATGCCCTTCCATTGTATCCCTACTTACCATTAGCTATTCCTTCTTTATAATGACCCCTGTGTTCTACCAAGTACGCCCTTCCATTGTATCCCTACTTACTATTAGCTATTCCTTCTATATAATGACCTCTGTGTTCCTGACAAGTATGCCCTTCCATCGAATCCCTTCTTACTATTAGCTATTCCTTCTATATAATGTAAATGACCTCTGTGTTCCTGACAAGTCAGCCCTTCCATTGTATCCCTACTTACCATTAGCTATTCCTTCTATATAATGACCCCTGTGTTCCTGACAAGTACGCCCTTCCATTGTATCCGTACTTACTATTAGCTATTCCTTCTATATAATGACCTTTGTGTTCTGCCAAGTATGCACTTCCATTGTATCCCTACTTACCATTAGCTATTCCTTCTATATAATGACCCCTGTGTTCCTGCCAAGTACGCCCATCCATTGTATCCCTACTTACTATTAGCTGTTCCTTCTATATAATGACCATTGTGTTCTGCCAAGTATGCCCTTCCATTGAATCCCTACTTACTATTAGCTATTCCTTCTATATAATGACCTTTGTGTTCTGCCAAGTATGCCCTTCCATTGTATCCCTACTTACTATTAGCAATTCCTTCTATATAATGACCATTGTGTTCTGCCAAGTACGCCCTTCCATTGAATCCCTACTTACTATTAGCTATTCCTTCTTTATAATGACCTCTGTGTCCCTGACAAGTATTCCCTCCACCGTTACACACTCCACATTTGTCAAATTGTAGGCCTGATTTGTGATGTCCGTCACATCCAAACTCCTACAATATATTTGAAATGTAAGGATGAAGAGTTAAATTTTGCTTAATGAAGAATCATTAATGCATTTTCTTTTATGTGTCTTGCATTTCTTCAATAATTGATCATACAATGGACTACCAGTACCCGAATTCCTTCACGCCTGTAAAATTGCCTCAAAATCATTAGAAGTCTTCTTCATCCAATGAGACATTGTCACACCAAGTGTGGTAAAAGTTAAGACAAGTGGTTTAAATTTTGCCCAAATTCCAGTTTATCAATTGCTTCTGTGACCTGACCTTTTGACCCCAAAATTAATAGGGTCCTTTCAATTGGGGATTTTCAAACTTGTTTGATAAAGATATTGTTTATTACTCAAAACATTTTGTCTTAAATAGGAATGTTTAGATGATGTCTGGAAGCCTGGTCATCATTCATAATATACTGTAATAAGCTAGTTTTGACTTTGTCACAAATTGGCTAAAATATTAGATGTTCAACATGATACTAACCTCACACTTCCCATTTATACATCTTCCTAATTCAGATTGACCTTCACATTCTGTTCCATCCTGGTATATTGTACTTCCTCTTGGAACAGCAATATGGCCACCAGCATATCGACACAACAATTGACAGGCATGGTCTGCTGTAGACAAAAAGAAATTTTTTATCAAACATTGTTAAGAAACGATTTGGACTGCTGTAGAAAAAGGAAAATTTTATTTTGAAATATAGTCTTTTGTTTAAGTAACTTGACAAAATATTACACATTTTAGTGGAAAATTATCTTAAAAATAGATGGGTACTTTTTGAACAGGCTGATTTCAATGAGCATTTTTTCAATAAGATTTTGATGGTTTTTTTTTAATGAGGTACCTTCTTTAACACATCACATTATTAATGGCAAAGTATAATGACCCCTTAATTAGGCATTTTTGTGTTGTAACGTCAGTTTTGGTACAAAGTTTCTATAATTCTTAACAGTTTTTAGCATAATTCATTTTGGCCCCCAACTTGGATCCAGAAATTTTTAGTGTCTAGGGATTTGATATCATCATTCGCATCTTTTGGTTACAGAGCATTTTGGATCAAGGGTTGCGGCCAAGGGTTCTCGCTAGCTTTCAGATCAGAAAATGCACAAAATCATCATATTTTGACAATATATCAAATATTTTAAGAAAAAAAAAGACTTTGAAGCCTTAAATGTACTCTTATGAAGAGATTTGTTTAATCTAATAGTTAGGTTTTCCAAATAGATCCATTTAAGAACCAAATTATGGCCTTTTTGATATTTCATAGTATGGATGAAATTGAAGGCCATATTTGGCCTAACGTGAACCTTGTCCTTTCTAACAAACCTGATGAGGAAGCATATGGTAACCAATGGTACATGTGATGTTTGTACGACACACTGTCTGTGGCAGCACATTGTTCTTCTTTTAATTTATACTGACTTGTCTGACATGTCTAAAACAAATCAATCACTATGGTTAGTTAGAGAAAATCTTATTTTTCTCCACTATAATAGCTTTTATGGCAGATAGTGCAAGCAAGCCTTACCCATGAATTTACATCTTAACTCAAGAGCCTCAAAATCCAATCATATTTATCTTTATCTTATCTTATAACAATTATCTCCCTTAATTCCTCTCTTCATAAACTCTACTTCATAAAAGGTTCTGTGAAAATCATCCAACCAACTAACTTATTATAAGCTGTTGTTACAAATTGAACAAATAAACAGATATATTTCAATATACAAGTCAAAAACAGGGTATAAAGTCATTTTCAGAATAAAATAAACAATTTATACACCTTGAAAATGTTGCTTTGCATTATATTTACTCATAAATATTTGTACGGTGAGACAGATGTTTTTTTTTTTTTTTTCCAAAAAAACTAATCTAGAACAGTTACCTGTACATTACACAGCATGGCCATTATCCCTTCACCTTGACAATCTCTACCTCCATACCTTGGTCTACAATAAAAGAAAATAACACATGTATAGTTTTCATACACCTGTTTACGGGACGTATTATGGTATACCATTGTCCGGCCGTCTGTCCGTCATCAACATGTCTGACAATAACTCAAAAAAGCTTTAACCAATTTTCATGAAACTTTGGTGAATTGTTTATATCTATTGACGTAAGCTCCCTTTCACTTTTTATAAATTTTAGATTTTACGTTTCTGAGTTATGAGATTTTATTCATAAAAAGGGGTTATTTTCCAGTTTTTGGACAATAACTCAAATATGCTTTGAGCAGTTTTGATGAAACTTTGATGACTGGTTTTTATCTATTAAAATAAGTTCCCTTTAGTTTTTTTATAAATTTCTGATATCACATTGAGGACTTATGGAACTTCATTCTTTGAAATAGCGACGGGTGTATCATGCGCTCATGGCGTAGCTCTTTATTTATATTGTAGTAAGTTCTTCCAAAATTGTCTTGAATGGTACTAACATTGATGTTATCTTAACAGTTGAATACATACCTAATCATATTGCTATCCAGTTATTAATACGTATGGTCTTACATCTGTTGACTCTTCTACTTTGGCAAGTCAAAGTTATCTCAGATTCATTATAACATCTTTACACTAAATCAGTTGTTAAATCAGTTGGAGGTGTACTGATTGATATTTAAGATTAGAAAAACAGTTTGTATTTAGTTGAAATGGGACTTTGAACTAGCATTCAGTAACTGCAAGTACTCTTAGATAGGTAATTTGTTTCAATTGTCTTTTTTATAGATCTTGTGCTTAGTACCGATCTGATCAATTAAGCCCTTTCCAATTTGGTTTATGTTGTGTAGTTACACCATTGTCCAAGGTAAGGGGAGGTTTGATAGCTTAAAACATGTTTAACCTCACCACATTCTTTGAGGGCCTATCTAAAGTCAAGGGCTTGTAAACCAGTGGTTGTCATAGGGTGTTGTATGCTATATTTGTTTATCGCTTACCGTTTTAGTATAAATCAGGCAGTTGTTCTTTTTTGAATTGTTTTGCACATTGTTGAATGCCGTATAATGACCTGTAGTTGTTCATATCCTAGTCACTTGGTCAATGGTGGATAGTTGTCACATTGGCATCATACCAAATCTACTTAATTTTCTTAACTATTTTTTAAACATAAAATTCCTAGCTAGATGTTGATAAATTTACATCTGTGTATTAAAGACCAGTCTACTTACTCAGGATTGTTACATTTTCTAGTTCTTGTTTTGACACCACCTCCACATGTTCTGGAACAAACTGTCCATTCGTTAGACCAGGATGACCATCCACCTTTGATAGGTCCAGGAGACCCTGATCCCATGGCAACACACTGACCATCTAAACACCACTGAAAGAATGATATTCAATACAATAATGCATTTGTTTGATTTTTGTTTTTTTTTTATGATTTGAGGTTAGGCACATTTCTTAGTATTTCAACATTTAATTTTATCACAGTAACAAAACTTTTCACCAAGAAAAAAAAGGCTTTTATCCAGAATTGATGCTTTTTTTCTGTGCTTCATTCAACACTTTTATACACCTCAACAAAACTACAATAAGCAGCTGTGCAAGAAGTATCTTTTTTAAGAAAAAAAAACAGAGAAAGAAATGAGTAAAAATTATGTCAAGGACATTTTGTTTTATCATTAAACTGGTACCTTTAATATTTGACATTGTAAGGTAAAATAAGTGATCTGAGACAAATTAACCAGGTGATCATGTGAATGTAATTATACATGTAAATACAGGAAATTTGATGAAAATCCATTAGTGTTAATATGAATAAAACAGTTCTAAAGCAGCCTAGGAAGAACATTGTAGTAAACCTTTAGTTATAATTTACCAGAAGTAAGTTGTTTTTATTCCGGACAAAAATATGTTACAATTTTTAAAAAGTTTCTCTCACAATTTACTGCATAAATTTTACTACAATTGTAAATATTTAAGAAACTTGGATAACTGATGATTTTTTTTCAGCTTTAAAAAGTTTACCTTTCTGTTTCCACATTCTGTACCATCTACCAGAGGTGAGCTATAACTTACACATTCTTTGTTTCTGTTCAGACACTTCAGAGTATGACAGTCAACCTGTTTATGTAAAAGAGACAAGCTAAACTATATGTATCACAAATACTTCACCAAAGTTTATACAATTGATTATTTTGAGAAATATATGTGTCAGCAATGAGTCAACCAATACCCATGCCCATAACTTATTAGATTGATTTATACTCGATAAATACTGTAAGAAGTATGTCAACCTAAACAATAAACTATGATATGCCACTCATTTTTATACAAATATCTGTAGACATGGCAGAAAAAAGTGTGGGAAAAAATAACTTTATTATTCATTTGTCAAAAAGTCTAAATCATGTTGTAGCCATTAAAGTAAAATAAAATGCAAGTGTGATTTGTAACCCTTCTTTTACAGCTAAATATCTAAACTGTTACTTTTCTGCTAACACTGCAAATAACGTTTATGTGAGCATACAAATGATGTGAAACTCATCACACAGTAACACAGGAAGATTGAACCAAATTTTATAAAGTGACCTATAGTTATTTACATCTTCATCCTTTGGTCTCTGGTGGATAGTTGTTGCATTGGCAATCATAACAAATTTCCTTATTTTTATATGTATACCTTATCCAGGTTCTGTAGGCCACATATAGAATAGAGAATGGAAATGGGGTATGTGTCAAAGAGACAGCAAACTGACCAAATGGCAGAAAACTGCCTAAGGCCACCAATGGGTTTCAACGCAGTAAGAAAATCCTGCACAAGGGGGCAGGCTTCAGCTGGCCCCTAAACAATAATGTATAGTAGTTCAGCAAACTGGGCACCACACTAAACTCCAAAACATACAAATGAACTAATATTAAAAAAACATACAAGATTAACAAAGGCTAGAGGTTCCTGACTCGGGACAACCCAAAAAATGCGACAGGTTTAAACTTGTTTTGTGAGATCTCAATCCCTCCCCCTATTCCTCTACCTAATGTGGATACAAACACACAGCAATATAGACAGTAAAACTCAATTTAAAAGAAGTCTGAGTCCTATGTTAGAATGGGTAACAGAAGAAACTAAGCAAAATGACAATGATCAGCAAAAACACAGTTTACTAATTTGTATTGTTACTGACAAACAGACCAGATATGATCCTGTTTATCTATAACCAAAAATTTGAGTCTTAAAATTTCACACCTACTAAATAACAACAGTAAAGTTATATAATTCTGTATGATATAAGGCTTCAGTATTTCTTCAAATCTCAGTAGAAAACTTTTTAAATATTTAAATTCTAAATATTTTTTATAGCTGACTATAGGGTTTAGGTTTTGCTCATTGCTGAAGGCCAAACAGTGACCTAATAGTTGCTTACATCCACACCATTTGGACGCTGGTGAAAAGTTGTCTAATTGACAATCATACCACTTATTTTCATATTGGTACTTTTAAAATTCTAGTTAAGGAATTTTACTCCAACAAAATAACTACTGAAGAGCACTTATGTTTTGCTTCTTCAGCTAGTTTTCAAATTTCAAATGAGGTAGAGAGGTTTTCCCTATTATTTTCCACCAATAGTTATATCAGAATATTTGATATTTATACAAACATGATTAATTCTCAGACTTTGCAGACTATTCAAAAATATAAAAGGTCCATCATAGGGGCAGGCTAAATTAACAAAGATAAAGAAAAGTCTGAGACACTAAATACACCTTTTTTTAATTTTGCCTAAAGTTTCTTTTAAACATGACATACATTTCAACTTCAACTTTTATTACAAGCACCAATACCTATATTTGCTCCTCATCTGAGACTATTAGAGAAAAAGTTGCATACAGCTTAGAATGCACTCAAAATGGACAATATTTGTTTCATGAAAGTTATGAATAACTTTTAAGAAAGCAAATACTCAAGATTTCCTCTTTAATTTACATTGGGTGGTATATAAGGAGAAAACAGTCCTTGCTATCCTCTATACTCTTACAAATATTTGTTATGAATAACCCATGCAAATCTCTCTCATTTTTTATTTAATAAAACAAACTTTTCATAAAATTCATCTGTTTTAAAGGAAGGAGAGTTGCATCACTGCATCGCTGAAATGTTTTACAATTTTACCTGACTGTAACAATATGCACTCTCCTTAAAACTCAAAGCTAGCTGGCATTGCTTGTTAGCGGAGTAAAGCATCCCTGGTTTTTCCCCAATGTTGTGCAGGTTTGTGGCAGTACTTGCAGGGGCATCATTCAAACAGCTACTTTGAGTAGATGAACTAAAATACAAACATACCAATATGTAAAATTTTATATTTTTCTTGTCCTTAAAACCCCTTCTGGACAGAAGTGCTATTCTGATTTTTATTGTATGTTTTCTACATTACTTTGTACAATCTAACTAGAGGCTCTAAAGAGCCTGTGTCGATCACCTTGGTCTATGTGCATATTAAATAAGGACACAGATGGATTCATGACAAAATTGTGTTTTGGTGATGGTGATGTGTTTGTAGATCTTACTTTACTGAACATTCTTGCTGCTTTCAATTATCTCTATCTATACTGAACTTGGCCCAGTAGTTACAGTGGAAAATATTTTGTAAAAATTTACAAAAATTTACAAAATTTATGAAAATTGTAAAAAATTGACTTTAAAGGGCAATAACTCCTTAAGGGGTCAATTGACAATTTTGGTCATGTTGACTTATTTGTAGATCTTACTTTGCTGTACATTATTGCTGTTACAGTTTATCTCTATCTATAATAATATTCAAGATAATAACCAAAAGCTGCAAAATTTTCTTAAAATTACCAATTCAGGGGCAGCAACCCAACAATGTGTTGCCTGATTGGTCTGAAAATTTCAGGACAGATAGATCTTGACCTATTGAACAATTTTAACTCTGTCAGATTTGCTCTTAATGCTTTGGTTTCAGAGATATGAGCCAAAAACTGCATTTTACCCTATGTACTATTTTTTAGCCATGTCGGCCATCTTGGTTCGTGGGCAGGGTCATCGGACACATTTTTTAAACTAGATACCCTAATGATGATTGTGGACAAGTTTGGTTAAATTTGTCTTAGTAGTTTCAGAGGAGAAGATTTTTGTAAAAGATTACAAAAATTTACAAAAAATTGTTAAAAATGGACTATAAAGGGCAATAACTCCTTAAGGGGTCAAATGACCATTTTGATCAAGTTGACTTATTTGTAGATCTTACTTTGCAGAACATTATTGCTGTTTACAGTTTATCTCTATCTATAATAATATTCAAGATAATAACCAAAAACGGCAAAATTTCCTTAAAATTACCAATTCAGGGGCAGCAACCCAACAACCGGTTGTCCGATTCATCTGAAAATTTCAGGGCAGATAGATCTTGACCTGATCAACAATTTTACCTCTGTCCGATTTGCTCTAAATGCTTTGGTTTCAGAGATATAAGCCAAAATCTACATTTTACCCCTATCTTCTATTTTTAGCCATGGTGTCCATCTTGGTTGGTTGGCCGGGTCACCGGACACATTTTTTAAACTAGATACCCCAATGATGATTGTGGCCAAGTGTGGTTAAATTTGACCAAGTAGTTTCAGAGGAGAAGATTTTTGTAAAAGTTAATGGACGACGGACGCCAAGCGATGAGAAAAGCTCACTTGGCCCTTTGGGCCAGGTGAGCTAAAAAGAGAGTTTAGATTTAAAACATAGTCAGAGGCTATCTTATGTTATATTCAATAATTTTTCATAAAGAGAATGTTATATTGATATTAAATCTATGCTTGTCTATATTAAATTCATTCATAACTGTTTTAAGACTTGGTGCAATTTAAAGTTGGAAACTGGTCTATTTTTTAAAACCATATGTTGACTTACAGATGTTTGTTGTCTCATTTATCATGTATGCAACATCTCCTTAACACCTCTTTTTATTCAGTTTTAAAACACAATCCTGTATATGAGTTTGAATATCCTATAAAAACTGTTTCATTACTAAATTTAATCAATACAATTTTACTTCTTTACCTTAAATTAAAAAGACAATTAAGCAATTATTGATTAGGTTTTTTTTATTACTGAAGAGATTTAGATCAAAGTACTCTTTCTAATATCCTTTACAAAAGTTTTAACATGTGTGAGGTGTTAAAACTTAATATGCATCAGGTTTTCAAAATATTGAAATTTTGAAAAAAAAATCTTTTAGAGTTAAAAGCTTCAAACTTATTCAAAATAGATCAAAGCACAACAGGACCTATTTAAATACAATGTTTCAAGTTTTATTACTCAGTATAATATTTTCTTTTTCTTTTATTCTATGAAGTATAAAAGTATTGCATTTCACAGATCTAAGATTAAAGTCTTACAAGAACTCAGAAACAAGTAATAAAAGTTAATCAATTCATGAAATGACTAATTTGAAGTACCGGTATAAGGAAATATTTAAGAAATCATTCATGGAAGCCATAGATTTGTTGGAAATTTAGACATGGCCTGGGCCGTGATATTCTAATTATATCCTGAGCGTTAGCTGAAAAACTGAAGCGAGGGTGGGTATGCTGTGTGTGTGGTTGTACTATTTTACCCCCTGTTAGATAAAGCTAATAATTTCCAATAAATCTACAGCTTGCATGAATTATTTCTTAAATGACTGCTAGAAAAAATGTGTTTAATTCTTTTAATTCTCAACCCCAACATTTGCCATTTTTAATTTACATTTTTTTTCTCGTAAGCTACCGTCAAATCCACAGTTGACATTTCTTTACTAAGGAGCTGCCATGTTGACTTGCTGAAATCAGTAAATGTGCGAATAATGCAATCTATACTACTAAAATAACGAAGTCCAATTTGTTAGCTGGCATGACGTAAAAACGATGAATCAAAGAATTCAACTTTATATATAACTAAATATAGGACAATGGTGTTGTTTAAAAATTACACCATTCCAGGCACTTTTGTTTTCCACATAATTAATAATACCAATAATTTACAAGTACCGGTCAAATCCGATACCATTACAAATAGTATATGTCACATGTAGTTTCCGGTTACCTGTTACCTTCTGTAAATCTCTCCTCTATCAGGAGAACCTGGAATTCTTCCAGTAGTTGCTTATATCTATGTTACACTATAGTACACTATTAAACAAGTCTGTTTTCTTCCACTTCAATACCACTATTAATTTTGGTTAATTTGTTAAAAATTTAAATTTAGTTTATTGTAGTAAGAAAAACAGGACGGGTTCAAACAGAAAGATTTTGAAAGCAGAGAAAACTGTACACCTTACAATTAGCATGACTTTATCAGATGACAATAGGAATACTAAAATTAAAATCTAGGCTAAAAATAAGGTATAGGTACTTTAATTCAGTCACGGATCCGCGATGTCGCGGGTGTGTTCTAGTAGAATAGAAAATAAAACAACACCTTCCTCAAAACACCATTTTAATGCAATATTATCCAAATTTGGAGGGTTCACGCAACGGAAAAACCTTCAGCTTTGGTGTTTTCATTGGTATGACGTCATGTTTTGAAATGACTTCAATGCGTCAAAAGCATAAATGCAATTTGCGGAATTTTATTTTATTTTGATTTTGTACGTTTTTCCGAGCTCTAATGCATCAATTCTTTTTGTTATGCATCAGAATAAGAATAAAGGTTCTGTAGGTTTTTTTTTCAATTGCAATTTTTAACACAGCGAAATCAGCATGGCATTTGTAAATAGGTTACGATACATGTGGATTTACGTGGGAGGTATATTGTAACAGCCATTATGTACATCTCTGAGTCTGCGCTAAGTATAGATATATAGGGAATTTTATCACGGTGTTGTATACAAAGCGAAAGAAGCACGTCATGTTAGAATTAAAAGGAATGAAGAAAGCATGGAATACGGAGATCTTCCTTATATCATGAGGAAATTGGTAATAACAGTTCTTGCTGAAAATGGCTTAGGATGAAGTCAAGGAACACTATCAAACTAAGTTCAGTAATAATTGAATGTATGGGTCAAAAGATATTGTTAAAACAAATAAACTTGCCAGAGTTTTTAGTTCCATTTCAGTGCCACTTGGCTAACAATTAATAGGTGCTGAAGCAATAAAATCATGACATACCTCATTAAATCTTCTAAAGATTTTGCACTACATTTGGACCATTTCAGACCACCAGCACCATTGGTAGACATGATGTAAACATTATCTCGGCAACCAACTAATCCATCATGGCTCATGCCTAAACTGTGAACAAAATATGATACACATAAAACATATTGACATATGTGTATTTTTCAAATATATACATCAACAGTATACATGTTTCTTTCCTTAAAAATATTTCTTTTTTTCAAGATATTAATCAGTTTTCAACAGGTTTTTTTTCTAATCAAATTCAGAATCGTAAACCAGTGTGTTATGAATTACAGTAAAAGTTGGTACAGTCGACTCCACTTAATTGCATACCGCTTAATAGCATAATTCGGTTAATTGCATTGTTTTCTCCTGCACAAAACCATTTCCCATTCATCTAATGTTAAATTGTCCGGTTATATGCATAGCTCCAAGAGTGGCCTTTCGGTTTATTGCATAGAAAATATTTGCCATCTAGATATGCTTAGTTAAAACTGACGAGATTTTTGACCGGAAACGGCAATATGGTGAGTATATTTTTCTTGAATGCATCATTATTTTCGTTATTATTTCATATTTACTTTTGTGTTATTTAAATAAAGTTTTAAAACAGTTTCTTTCGTGCTTTTATGATGGAATTTGATTTAAAAATAAACCTCGATGTCTACACAGGTAAAGTTTCCCATGTTCTATTTTAAGCCTCGAGGTCATAAAAATGTCAAACAGGTAATTGTTGTAAAAACACTGACCATTCGATCTCAAAAGGTGTTAATAATTGATTGGATTTCAAACATTGTCCATAGATTACATTTGGGGTGAATTTTAAAAACAATAACGCCTGCTAATTATCGATCATTATCCAATGTGAACTCTCGTAATTGGGCTTGGCGTGAACTGCATTTATGTTAAATATTACAGGGCATTTATATATGGTTAAAGAATTTTATATATCAATCATTTATTTTTAATATTTTATGAAAAGAGCATTTACTTCAAATTATTATATTTTCTCACTTTCAACACTCGTGTCCAGCAAATAACCCGTACAGGGCCCCATTACTGCTTTGCATATACGAAACTAACGAGGTTAAATAAACAGTGTTACATCACTGTGCAAGCTGTAAATACTGCATATCAAAGGCAGTTCATTACACGTCTGATTAAAAACTGTGTAGTATTGTTAAACAATTTATTTTAATCAAAGCGTAATCATGTACATTGTACATACGGGTCATAGAAACAAATCTATTTTTAGAACAATTTGTTTTATTTTCGTATCCCAGGTAAAGGAAACTTCGGTACGCAAATAAACTAAAACAAAATGTGTTTATAATCTTTATTGATAGAATACAAAATAAAATAACATGTATGACACTAGACATATAACTTTTATCAGAATAAATCAACATTCAATATGTTGTAAGTAGATTATAGACGTTCATCTTTCTTCAGGGGTTTCCTTTACTGATCTGTTCTATCGATGTTATACATGTAAATGACTCCGTAATTTGACATTTCGGATATAAGCATACTTCGCTTTATTGCATAATTTTGTCTGACAAATAGGCTATGCAAATAACCGGAATCGACTTTATAAAGTATATTCACTGTATAATTAAAGGGTAATATCAAGGCATCAAAATAACCTTGTGTCTTGCTTTTAGCATACCTTTTTCTAACTTACTGATAACAGTGAGTTCAGATTCTAATCATGCATTTTGCTTGGAACATACCTATGGCCTAATTCATGGGCAATAGTGAGTCCAAGGTCTAAACCTGTGTCTTCATTTACGGAACAACCGTTATCTTTAGAACATATAGCACCCTTGTATGACAAACCAACATTAGAGTCATCTCCATTATCCTCTAAATCGGTACTGAAATAAAATAGAGACAATGTTTGATGAATGTAAATATAGAATATGGCATGTATATAATTTTCTTCAATTGTAAATCTTTATACTAGCAAATGCAAAATAATTAAATTCTGTCATTTCTCTTATTTTTTTTTTTTTCAATTTCAAGTATCAAAATAAAGATGAATAAAGTGTTTCTTATAGCTTATGAAAAAATGGCATTGAAACTCAAGAAAAAACAAGAAATGATTGTAACAGGATGCTGTTACGAAGTCTCCCAAACGAAGCTCCCATAATTCGTAATTCCCAGGTTCGCCTGACATTGGGCAACATCCAGTGAAAATTGGTTTGGTCCAGTAAAGTTATATGCATTAATGATGCCTGGGGACTAACCCTGTATATCATTCAAATCATCTTGGCATGACAAACCAGAATATATATGGTTTAGGGGTGGGGATCTCAACCATTTACAAGATATTAGAACATTGGGGTCGGGGAAACCCCTGGAGACTGACCGTATATGTCATTCAAATGTTCGAGACATGACAAATAGGAATATATATGGTTTAGGGGTGGGGATCTCAACCATTTACAAGATATTAGAATTTTCTCAAATGGCAGGGGGTCGGGATGACACCTGGGGACTAACCCTGTATATCATTCAAACCATCTTAGCATGACAAACCAGAATATATATGGTTTAGGGGTGAGGATCTTGACCACTTACAAGATATTAGAACTTTCTTAAATGGCATGGGATGGGGTGACCCCTTGGGGACTAACCCTGTATTTCCTTTGATGTGCTTTATCATGACTAACCACAATATATATGGTTTAGGGGTGGGGATCTTGACCATTTACAAGATATTAGAACTTTCTCAAATGGCAGGGGGTCGGGATGACCCCTGGGGACTAACCCTGTATATCATTCAAACCATCTTAGCATGACAAACCAGAATATATATGGTTTAGGGGTGGGGATCTTGACCACTTACAAGATATTAGAACTTTTTTAAATGGCATGGGGTGGGGGTGACCCCTGGGGACTAACCCTGTATTTCATTTGATGTGCTTTATCATGACAAACCAGAATATATATGGTTTAGGGGTGGGGATCTCGACCATTTACAAGATATTAGAACTTTCTCAAATGGCAGGGGGTCGGGATGACCACTGGGGACTAACGCTGTATATCATTCAAACCATCTTAGCATGACAAACCAAAATATATATGGTTTAGGGGTGGGGATCTTGACCACTTACAAGGTATTAGAACTTTCTTAAATGGCAGGGGGTGGGGGTGACCCCTGGGGACTAACCCTGTATTTCATTAAATGTGCTTTATCATTTAGAACATTTTCAATTAAAAAGATGGTGTTTATCACAAACGGTTTTCAATTTATAATCATTTGAAAATTTAAAAAAATAAAATCCCATAGGGTTCTATAGTAAAACCCTCTTTTCTTTTTGCCCCTCAAAGTACCCTTTTATAAACCCCATTGCACAAACAAAACCCTGATTGCACCACTAGACATGTTAGTCTAACATATTGTGAAACCCTAAGTTAATCTGACAAGCGGTTTTGGAGAACGGGTGCGGACAAGTTCAAATTTAAAAGCGGCGGAAGAAGAAGAAGAAGAAGAATAATAATAACAAGAAATGATTGTAACAGGATGCTGTTACGAAGTCTCCCAAACGAAGCTCCCATAATTCGTAATTCCCAGGGTCGCCTGACATTGGGCAAAGTCCAGTGAAAATTGGTTTGGTCCAGTAAAGTTATATGCATTAGTGATGCCTGGAGACTAACCCTGTATATCATTCAAATCATCTTGGCATGACAAACCTGAATATATATGGTTTAGGGGTGGGGATCTCAACCATTTACAAGATATTAGAACTTTCTCAAATGGCAGGGGGTGGGGATGACCCCTGGGGACTAATCTTGTATATCATTCAAACCATCTTAGCATGACAAACCAGAATTTATATGGTTTAGGGGTGGGGATCTTGACCACTTACAAGATATTAGAACTTTCTTAAATGACATGGGGTGGGGGTGACCCCTGGGGACTAACCCTGTATTTCACTTGATGTGCTTTATCATGACAAACCAGAATATATATGGTTTAGGGGTGGGGATCTCGACCATTTACAAGATATTAGAACTTTCTCAAATGGCAGGGGGTTGGGATGACCCCTGGGGACTAACCCTGTATATCATTCAAACCATCTTTGCATGACAAACCAGAATATATATGGTTTAGGGGTGGGGATCTTTACCACTTACAAGATATTAGAACTTTCTTAAATGACATGGGGTGGGGGTGACCCCTGGGGACTACCCCTGTATTACATTTGATGTGTTTTATCATGACAAACCAGAATATATATGGTTAAGGGGTGGGGATCTCGACCATTTACAAGATATTAGAACTTTCTCAAATGGCAGGGGGTCGGGATGACCCCTGGGGACTAACCCTGTATATCAATCAAACCATCTTAGCATGACAAACCAGAATTTATATGGTTTAGGGGTGGGGATCTCAACCATTTACAAGATATTAGAACATTAGGGGTGGGGGGAACCCCTGGGGACTGACTGTATACGTCATTCAAATGTTCGACACATGACAAATAGGAATATATATGGTTTAGGGGTGGGGATCTCAACCATTTACAAGATATTAGAACTTTCTCAAATGGCAGGGGGTGGGGGTGACCCCCAAGGGACTAACCCTGTGTTTCATTTGATGTGCTTTATCATGACAAACCAGAATATATATGGTTTAGGGGTGGGGATCTCGACCATTTACAAGATATTAGAACTTTCTCAAATGGCAGGGGGTCGGGATGACCCCTGGGGACTAACCCTGTATATCATTCAAACCATCTTAGCATGACAAACCAGAATATATATGGTTTAGGGGTGGGGATCTTTACCACTTACAAGATATTAGAACTTTCTTAAATGGCAGGGGGTGGGGGTGACCCCTGGGGACTAACCCTGTATTTCATTTGATGTGCTTTATCATGACAAACCAGAATATATATGGTTTAGGGGTGGGGATCTCGACCATTTACAAGATATTAGAACTTTCTCAAATGGCAGGGGGTCGGGATGACCCCTGGGGACTAACCCTGTATATCATTCAAACCATCTTAGCATGACAAACCAGAATATATATGGTTTAGGGGTGGGGATCTTGACCACTTACAAGATATTAGAACTTTCTTAAATGGCAGGGGGTGGGGTGACCCCTGGGGACTAACCCTGTATTACAATTGATGTGCTTTATCATGACAAACCAGAATATATATGGTTTAGGGGTGGGGATCTCGACCATTTACAAGATATTAGAACTTTCTCAAATGGCAGGGGGTCGGGATGACCCCTGGGGACTAACCCTGTATATCAATCAAACCATCTTAGCATGACAAACCAGAATATATATGGTTTAGGGGTGGGGATCTTGACCATTTACAAGGTATTAGAACTTTCTTAAATGGCAGGGGGTGGGGGTGACCCTGGGGACTAACCCTGTATTTCATTTAATGGACTTTATCATTTAGAACATTTTCAATTAAAAAGATTGTTTCTATCACAAACGGTTTTCAATTTATAATCATTTGAAAATTTAAAAAAATAAAATCCCATAGGGTTCTATAGTAAAACCCTCTTTTCTATTTGCCCCTCAAAGTACCCCTTTATAAACCCCATTGCACAAACAAAACCCTGATTGCACCACTAGACATGTTAGTCTAACATATTGTGAAACCCTAAGTTAATCTGACAAGCGGTTTTGGAGAACGGGTGCGGACAAGTTCAAATTTAAAAGCGGCGGAAGAAGAAGAAGAAAAAGAAGAAGAAGAAGAAGAAGAAGAAGAAGAATAATAATAATAATAAGAACTGAGCAAAAACAATAAGTCTTCCCAAACTTCGTTTGGGAGACTTAATAATAAGAACTGAGCAAAAACAATAAGTCTTCCCAAACTTCGTTTGGGAGACTTAATAATAAGAACTGAGCAAAAACAATAAGTCTTCCCAAACTTCGTTTGGGAGACTTAATAAAAGTCACTTGCCATAATCCATGTGTGAGAATATAAATGTGAAGAATAAGGTGTAGGATAGAAATCATTAACTAAACAACAACTTCATGTTAATGTCCCACATATTTGGGTATTCTAGAAGACAGCATATGACTGTTTTGTTAAAGGCTGAAGATTTTTGAGCCTTCATAAATTCATTTGTGTAGAGTTATTCAAGTTCAACTGAATTTGCTACTTAGTGAAGAAGGCAACTTTGAAACCAAGCCCTTTCCACAATTAAACAGCCAGTGAAAAAATGTCCTAACCCTTTACAATAAAATAATTGCTTCTTTGAAAGTCTTAGAGACCTCTTTTTCAAATCAAATTTTTCAACAATTTATAGATCACAATTCCATTTTTCTTCATATTAAAATCTTCAACAATTTATAGATTACAAGTACCACAAGTTAACTGCATATGTATTAAAATATCAAATAAGCAATACGTTTTCTTCCTTGATCACAAATTAAATTCTACAGGATAGATGAATCCAGTTGTTCACAATAGGATAACGAAGGAACATGTGTTTGTTGTACATAAAAATTACCTGGTGATTAGTAAAACATGGTCTGCATGTCTTGGATTGGAGTCATCAATTGGATGATACTGTTTCTGCCATTGACAGAAGTTTTTCAGCAAAGTATTTGAATCTTTGTCTATAGGCAGACTTGACTGAAAGAAAAATATTAAAAAAATTAGGGTCTAATTTTTTTCCTGCTTTCAAGCTATGTCATGACTCCAATGACAATTGCCATCACAAAGCTTATCATGATAATTAAACTTATTTTCCCCTATAAAATATAGAGTAATAAAGAGCTGCGCCATGAGCGCATGATACGCCTGTCGCTTTTTCAAAGAATAAAGTTCCATAACTCCTCAATGTGATATCAGATATTTATAAAAAACTAAAGGGATGTTATTTTAATAGATATAAAACAGTCACTAAAGTTTCATGAAAACTGCTCAAAGCACTTTTGAGTTATTGTCCGAAAACTTGAAAATCCCCCTTCTTTATGAATAAAATCCCATAACTCGGAAACGTAAAGTCTAAAATTTATAAAAATCAAAAGGGAGCTTATGTCAATATATATAAACAATTCACCAAAGATTCAGGAAAAAAGCTCAAAGCATTTTTGAGTTATTATCCGAAAACTGGAAAATCTGCCTTTTTTAATGAATAAAATCCCATATGTATTTTAATTACTTTCCAAAGATAAATAATAATATAATGATAATGTATGGATAACTTTATTATTGTTAGATAACACTCATGGCAGTATTTAATTTTCTACAAGGACTAATAATTACAAATATCAGTATAATAAATTACCCTTTAATCTATGGCAAAATTTTAAATTGCAAAGACTACATCATGTTCAACTGACATTAAGGCCATAGTTATTTTATTTCAAGTTTTATGAATCCGCCGACCCCAACTTTTGCTGAATTGGAAAAAAAATAAAATTGGAAAAACAAAGATTTTTTTTCCACACCCCACAGTGCTTTGCTGTAAAAAAAAAATAATTTGGTTTTGAGTTGTATTTTTCGATCCGACTCTAGACAGCACTTGAAAGAATAGGAATTTACGATTGGCGATTGTTGTCAGAAAGGACTTGAATGTTTTAGGCCACCATGGCGCGGTGGTTCTGTATAGTTATTTTTTATTTCGATCTTGCGGTAATCAAGAACAAATTTGTAAAAGGGGACTCTGATACATCTATTGGCCAAATAATATCAGATGAACTTGAAGTGAGAATCCAATCAAGAGTGCTTAGGGCAGTGGATCCTATTTGCTTGGACAGGGCCATGGTGCGATTAAGTCCTCCACTGAACTTGACACATATGTGCCGGTTGGGGTTATGTTTGAAATGGGCATAAAGAACATCTACCTATACTAGGATGGCAGTAAAGAGGCATCAGGGAAAAAAACTGTTGCAAATAGTCAATGTCCTGTTGTATTGTAAAAAAAAATAAAAAAAAGTAATACTTGAATTAAAATTTATGATGAATTTAAATTTCAGATAAAGCACATAGATACTGACATATTTTAAAGAGTATTAAATTAATCCATGGTCACAGCACAAGCGCATGTCATCATTTGTGAAGTTCTGCAGTTTGTTTTTGGAAGGTCTTTTGTTTGGATTTTTTTCTTTTTTCTTCCTCCTACCCATTCTTTTCTTTATAAGTTTCAGTAAAACAAAACAAAAAACAAAAAAAGAAAATCTTTGATTTTTATTTTTTTTGGTCCACCTACCCATTGGTTTTGTAAGAAAATTTAGTAAAACTAAAAATATAACTATGGCCTAAAGTTGACCTGCAAGTGATATAACATTAATGCATTTAATACTGGAGAATAATGCACTATAATTTTAAGTTACGTGTAACAGAATATTTCACTGTAAAAAAAATATACAATTATCAATTCAGTATGGTAAAAAGAAATTTAGAAAGGAACACCATTATATAAACAAATCATTTGGAATTTTTACAACATGTATTTTATGATCTTTTATGCCTTATTCTTATGGTTATTAAATTCAAGCTTTTTAAATACATCTTACCTTATCTTCTTCTAAAATCAGTATCTCCACTAATGTAAGAAAAAGTTTATATCCCAGACTGGTATCTTGAAATCGCTGTGCTGCCTATAATTATACAAGAATTTTAATTTATGCTGTTTTCATTTTGATACCATTCAGTTCATATTAATTGAATTCCGTTTTCTATTTATAAGTAATAACATATGTTTAAAATGACTTAACATTTTAATTGTTTCACATTTTATCATTATTTTTTATTATCATTGCCTATTTTTGAAGGCTGTATGGTAACCTATAGTTGCTTAAATCCACATCATTTGGACTCTTGTGGATAGTTGCATCATGGCAAAAATACCACATCATCTAATATTTATTTAGACAATTTTGGATGTTCTGTTTTGTTAATTTTTCTGAGTTAATTCTCTCAAATTCTTTATATTTTTAGCTTTCCAATTACCAAACTTTTGGACTTCATCTTTTTTTATAAGACAAATACTGGCATATGAAATGTACTGGTCAGAACCAAGTTTTATTAGTCTCGGGCATCTGGCTAACTGCTAAAACTTTACATATTGAGAAAAACAACATCACCATATGGAGGAAATGCTGATGTAAAATAAATTATACACTTAATCTGTATAACTTACTATATTCAAAACAGTTGTAACAAAATTTATTGTGTTTGTCCAGTGTTATACACTAAATCTGTACAACTTACTATATTCAATACAGTTGTTACAAATTTTCTTGTGTCTGCCCCGTGAAACTTGGCAGCATCAGGTGCTACGACAGCTTTGATCTCTATGTATTGACCTGCTGACCTTTTTCGTCTATGGAGCAATGGGTATTTTTGTCTTTCTGACCTCTTATGTATATAATTATTTCCCTCATCTAAATCATCGGAAATCTGCTGACCTGTAAATATAAGTGATCTCAATAATTTTTAAGTAAACATTCAGGGAAATCCTTTTTGTTCTGTTACACTTTTGTCATGTTATGAATGTGGCAAACCATAAATATTGAGCACATATACATTGTCTTCTTAGTTGACATTTTTGTGCAGAGCTTATATGCTACAAATTCTTTCTGACACAAATACAGTAAAACTTGATGGGTTAATATTCATCCATATCAATAAAGGAAAAAAGAAAAATCACAGGATCAAATGTAGAGTGCTTATGCTATCTAAATTTGATATACTGAAGGTTCCTGGTATACAATTTTCATATTGATTTTGTATGAAAGTCTTTTATGGCAAACAATTAATTTACATCTGACACTTGTTTAAAAAAAGAAAGAAAGACAATGGTGGGGTTCTAATATTGTTTATTATACAGTCAGATAAATTCATTTACTTTACTGTTACTTATAAATTACAGGAAACAATTAAATAATTATGTAGAAGGTCCAGTAACAACAACACTTTAAGGAATGCTCCAGTAATTTATTGAGGTCGACATGTTTCGGTGGCTAGGCCACCATCATCAGGATAGAAAACAATACATAAAATTAAATAATTAAAATTAAAAATAAAATTGTCTAAATGAGCAAATAGTACAAATGGTTGCAGTACATAACTGTGATATTTCCATGCACTTCAATAAAACTTGTATGAATGATGTTTGAATCTTATCTTTTGCTGAATTATTTGATTGATTGATTGATTGATTAAGTGAGTTTAACATCATTTCAGCACATACAGGTCTCAAACATTTAACAAAAGTCTTAATGTAGAAGAAAAGTTATATGCATGAAGGAGTTAAATAAAATGCAAAAAATATTTATTAGTAAAGCAGCTGCAGTCCCCTTTTAAATGAACTGTTGACACAAAGATGTGTCTCACCTGTCAGCATTAAAATTCAGAAAAAGACAATCTGATGGACAGCAACATTGCTAATTAATTCAAAGTCGCTGGACCATTATATAGTGGTCAGGGCCTAGAAATGGTTGACAAACTGAGATGTACAGACAGCAATTTAACTTTATAGAAAATATTGTTGTCTAATGTAAGTAGTTCCTATCAAACTAACTTCAGCAGAAAACTTAACATTGGAAATCATTATTCAATTGGAAGTCAATGGACCATAACCTAGGAGGCAGGGCCTTGAAATAGTTGTCAAACTGATATGTACTGAAATTAACGCTTCTGTATAGAAAATATCATTGATCTATCACAAGTAGTTCCTATCAAACTATCTTTAAGCAGAAAACTTAACATTTGTTGATGTCAACTACGAAGACATCATCATCACTTGACAAGAAATCCCTATGTCTTGCTTCCCTAGACTTTCGTTGCAGGCGAGATCAAAAATGAGAATACTTAACTTGTTAACTTGTAAAAAAGTCCATGTACAACATCCCCCCACCCCCCAAAACAAAAAATCCAATGAAATATGTCCATTTTTTATAAAAGATTACCTGTTATTTCTTTACAAGATGATTTTCTCACAGATCTCCTGTAAATAACATGAGGATGTGAAGGAAGACTGGTTATATTTAAATGGTTTTCATGAACTGGTTGTATCACTAGATCATGGTCTGCTAAACTGATAATTCCATGCTGAAATGACATAAAAAATATAATTACATAAAAGGATTTATAACACAGCCTTTTCACCATCATTTTGGAAGGACTGTCTGTTGGCTGAATAACATTGAATGCATATATATTCAGCGTGATACAATGTTATAAGTAATATTATTGGAACATACAATGTTTTTTCCAAAATCAATGCCCCAGTCTAATTTTTAACATGCTAGTTTACAATCTCAATAAAGAAGCAGCAAATACAAATTTTCAACCCCTTATTCTAACATGTTATTGGACTTAATTAACAGCATTCTGCCATGAGGTGTGGCCAAAACATTATTTAAAAGGAGATCCAGTTTTCACTTCACGTGCTGCATTGGAAAAGATGGCAAAACAAAACATTCTGTAATAGCTTAAATATCAGACATGTATTAGATTTCAGTTCTTTTTTTAAATGAAATATGGTTGATCATTTACATGTAGGTTTCAAAAATGATGTTGTACCAGATGTTTTTGTCTCCCTTAATATTCTCCAGATAAATTGTATTATTACTTACTATATTGTAGCATCTTTTTTCTACATTACAAGGTCTGAGTGTGAAAGGTAATACAGTGCATGCTTGTTTCACTACCTTCTTTTGTACCAAGTAATTTTTTGTTGATAAGTGAGGATGTTGGTATAATAAAGGGGGAGTTTTAAATGAAAACTACATACACTTTGGAAAAATTGTCTTGGGGAATTAGTGGCATTCAGTTTAGGGACTGCCATTATCAAGAAGTAGTAACACAAGTGACCACTGTCCTGGAGAAACCTTTATTTCCTACATGTTGAATATCAAGGTTTTGCCTCTAATATTAATTTGGGGAAAATTAATTTTCAATGGTTTTACAGTTTGTGAAAGTAACATTCCTAATTCTTCATACGTTAACTTTTCATTTGCTTTTTAAATGTATGGATACTATCTTATCATAGATATAAAGAAAATAAACTCCAAACAATTTTTTTTATTTTACTGTTCCATCTCTTAAGCCAGCAGTTTAATTTGCAGTAAGTTAAAGCTCTTCTTTTCAAATAAACCTACGACCAGAACACCTTCTTTTCATAAGGACTCCTAGAAAGACAGACAACTCTTACAGCAGTGATGCACAACTCCATATTGGCATATAACTTTTCATTATAATTTGAATTTCACATTGTGAGAAACAATCGAAATTGATTTTATTTACTATCCAGACTTTCAAGGGAGAGGAGGGGGTGGCTGTAAAGATAAAATTAGATTTTGCTTACTTAATTTCTTTAAACAATAATTTCAACAAATAACTTACAAGACCACCACATGTACTTATTGCTGCTGATGATTGGTTTTCATCTTTTATGTAACCATGGTAATGACATAGCTCCTCCCCTTGTGTGCAAGGTTCCAGTATATTTGTTTTGTTTGAACCTATCCTCTGTGTGATGCATGCTGTAATATAATACTGATATATAGTAACTTGCATCTTTTAAGAAATATTGATGAAGACCTGGCATATATGTTGACCTCTGCATGTACAATGTTTTTGTTGTTTTTTTTTGTGTAGCTGGGTTGCTTTCTCTTTAACATATAGCTCAAGTCTCCTCTTATTTACATTCAACTGAATGCATAAATTTTATCTGATTATTTTTTATGTATTTTACTTCTGAATTATTTCCATTAGACTGAAGTTATTTAAGAAATAGCATTTATTTGTTTAACAACAAATGACATTTACAACACTTTTCGTAGAAAGATTTCAACAGTAATATATAAGATAACCTTAAGTATAGGTTACAGATTACTACAAACTCAATAAGCATCAACAACATGCACTTTAGGTGAATTTTTATAATTGAATATCAATGAATTATTAATATACTACGCTATGAATTGTTTTCATTCTTGGTGTAAAACAGAACATTAAATATATTCAGTAACAAAGACTTTTGTGCAATGAAAAATGCAATAAAAGTGTTGTTTTACAGAAAATTCAATTGTAAAGCATTTTCAAAAGCATTATATAATTCCAAACATTGAATATCTTTCTTTGTATATCGTATGTCATGTATATTTTTATCGTACTAAGAAGATTAGCGTAATTTTTTTTTGCAGATGTTTACACATACCTGGAGAAATAAGTTGTGTATATGGTATTAAATAAAGATGATAATCAACTCCAAACACATTAAACATATACTGTTTAGATAAATCCAAACTTTGTGAGATCTGAGTGACTGGTCTTGGTGATATCAATTTGTAATCTGGTACTGAAAATAAACACAAACAGTGTTACATAATATATATGAAGGTATTTGCTAGTGTCTATTCAAATATCATCAGTCTAGACACAAACAAAAAAAACATAGGAGTGAAGTCAAGTGAACTTATATACCCTGAACAGAGCAAGACCAGAAAAGGCAATAGCAAGATAATACATAACAGAGCTTCAAAGTGTATTTCAAAACTGAAATTTTCATACACAACTGGCTTAGTTATTAAAGAAGCCATCCCTATAAAGTATTCATTAAGGGCTTTGTCTAATACTGGTCTGAAAAACAATGGTATAATTTGAAAGGCCATTTCATGGTTGTGATGTAATGCACTGTCAGAAAAGAAAATTACAATAATGCTTATTCCCCCCATGAGATGTGATGTCAACAACAAAACAAAATCCGAACTTGCCCATTATAGAGAAGTGATAATATATTTAATCGTCCTTTCCCTAGCTTATATCATCATGTTCAGTTGCTCCATAATTTTCATATATTACATTTTTGAGAAGTGAGTGGACAATATCAGCCATGTCACAATGTCTTAGAAGTTATCAGCTACTTCACAATGTGTGAGGAGACATTATTAAGCTTACTTTTGTTCAGCGTAAAATTGTCTTAAGGATAGGGAAAGAAACAGTAATAGAAAGAAAAACAGATTATCGGGTTTTCTACGAATGGATATCGTAAAATATCAGCCACTCAACACAAAATGAAACTTTTTGACTCATATATATATATTTGTAGCTTTTATTAAGTGATACCCGAGTACTTGCTAGGAAAAATATTTATACAAAATATATAGGAAGACAATTATACAATGTGGGTCATTGTTTAATGGAAGTTAAACCCTGTACATTATAATCTCATTTACTACATGTACTGATTAAGTAACAAAACTCTCAACAATTCAACAACATTATCAACAGCTATTGAACATAGAGATTACAATCCAGATCAAACAACAGTTACATTAATTTTTTAAACATAAAGACTCATTTACGAAACAAAGGTCTATTTATGTGGTTTACATGTGAATGGCATGTTTAAATGCTAAACCACTATCAAGTAATCTTAGCATGCTACATTTTTGTAAATTAGTGCAGAAAGTTATAAAGATCTTATCAAGGTTAATGTAGTTTGAAGGAATGGCTTCCCTTAGTACATGTAGAAGATACTTAACCAGATGTAAGCGGTTGAGCTAGGTAGGTATTTCTTTAGCTCAGACAGATAAATTAAGCCCTGACTTTGCATATAGAGGTCTGGGTTTGAGTCTCGGAGGAGACTACATGTATGTGATTCTCCAATAAGAGTCATGCTCTACGGTTACATTTGGCGCCCAACTAAAAAACCCACGGTGGTTAAGAGAGAATTTCTAGCCAGGGTATGTGTTATGAGAGTCATAATGAAATGACGACTCTTGAGGTGGGGGAAGTGTGATGGGATTGCTTCATCATTCAGTACATGCAGTAAAAGCTTTAGCCAGCCATAAGCAGTTAAGCTAGGAAAGTACTTCTTTAGCTCAGTCGGTTAAAATGCTGACTTTGATTACAGAGGTCCCATAGGAGACAATGCAGACATGTAATTCTTCCGGCGGGAGTCAAATTCTCCCGATTTTTAAGCCCTCTTCTGTCCCTCCCGTTAATAATTCAAGAAAATATTATTTTGAAAATTATTTGAGAGATCTATACTTCTTTTCAATGCTTAAATTGAAATTTAAAAGATATGTTTTGACCGTCCAAATTGACTGTGTGAGTGATTATGCTAAATCTGGCTAAATCAAAACTAGCTAGAAAAGTGGAATCACATAAATAATCAATGGATGATGGAGCTGAAAAAAATGCTAATGATGAGGAAAGGAAAAAAATCACATACCCTAATCGGGCTTGTATAGTTCGCACTGGTACATAGTCCGCACCCCCTTCTCCCCACGAAAATTTCAGGTAAAAAAAACTTTTTGTAACTGTTAGAAAAGGTCTAATGAAACTCCGGTAATTTCAAATCGTGTGTGGTCGTTTGCGGTATTTTCTTGGAAAAGCCTATTTTCCATCACCAAACAAAACTGAAACTGCTTGTAAATGGTTCTAAAACACTTCACGCTGGTTAAAATAAGTCTAAATCACACAAAAAAACAATTTAGAAACTTGTGTATGTTTAAACCGGAAGTTTGAAAAGCACGTGTAAAAGATGAAAAAACCCGGTGAAAGTCGAAATCCGTACATAATAGATATCACTATAATACGACTTTGAAAGTAAAACAGTTCCCTCCTCATGTAAAACAGTGTTTAATATATCTATCATATTAATGTTTGCAGGGGCGGATCCAGGATTTTGGAAAGGGGGGGCGTAGTATCAAAGTATCAAAAAAATTTTTGGACCTTTTTTTGGCTAATAAACATAAAATAAGTGTAAAATGCATTTTAAAGTTAAAGTGTAGGGGTTGGACATTTTTGGTGCCGTATTCTCTCCATTAATTGTCTATTATAAAATGATTGGATGGATCCAAAGCTATGTACTAATTAATATATTTGATGTGGGATTTGTCAGTAAAATATGGACATGGAAAATTCTCGTTTGTTGTATGGTTAGTTAGCATAACCTTACAGATTTCTTGTTGTAAACAAGATATATGGCTATTCAATGAAATTTACAATACGACCGACACGAAGAAAGACAAACACGCAATTTTTATTCAAATGTTTGGTTGAAATGTTTCAACCAACAAAGGAAGTGAGGGGTTCCAAATCAACCAAAGGCTACGAATGAGTCGGAAATGACAATGAAGTTGTGAATGACGTTCGACACATGGAGACATATAGGCCACACCCAGCAGGCAGGTTGTTGTCGGGCCTTGAAAAAAGTATTCAGTATATCAGTTCGGCGAAACAGACATTCCGGTCAGATATGGCAACCCCCCAAAAAATAATTACGCCCATTTTTTAATTCATCATGTTCATTTAATGCTAAATAATTTTGTTGAAAATACTTTTTTCTAATAGCAAAAAAGTGGACAAGATTATTGTTTTCAATCCAGATACGGCCAGAATTTTTGTTTAAGGCAAAAATCAGGGTCAGTATTTTTTCTCTAAAATATCTCAGACTGCCCCCTCAAATTAAATGGTCCGTACCTTAGACTTTAAATCTATATCTAGAGCTTACTGACTGGGGATCACTATTCAGCAATGTTATTAAAGGGCTGGGCGTGCAGGGTTAAACATGTTTTCGTAGGTAAATAATATTGCTGTGGAACTTTTTTTTTCATGAGAGTGTAATAGAGTATTACTTTCTGTTGGGTGGAATTGTGAAATAGAAGTCAATACGTTCTTGCTCAATACTTTGTTGCTTTGAAGGCGTCATGCTTGTCATCCTCAGCCTAAGCAATGTGTTACTGTAATTTGAATTTCAAAATGACTAAGTGACGTTTTTTTTCGACGTACTGGTGAACTCCACCGTAGCGAATCACATGACTTTGACATAATCAATAATATATTACAGTAAATACGAGCGAAGCATATCTTTATAAGTAATTGGATCCGCCACTGGTTTGAAGGATCTTAATCTAATACAAAACATATTTGTCAATAGGAAACACCAAAACGGAACAAAGAATAACTGATTATGTTTTGAAAGTTTACACATCGTACATGTAAGCTGGTTTACGGTTGTCTTTTTTTTAACTTTTTTTGTAAGATTTCATTCAAGTAGATACCAGTTTATACTTAGCAATGCATTGAAAAGAAACGAGAATTTTGTAATGAAGCATTAAATTTTTAAATTTATCAGTATTAATTTGATATTGAATAAAAATAACTTAATTTTGATTGGGTAAAATTATTGGTTTGAAAAATGATAAGAGAGCCCTCTACAATGTCAATAACAAACATGGCGGAACGTAAACAAACCACATTGCGAAATTGAAATTTTCTCTCTTATTTCTTGCTTATTGTACTCTATAGTCCGCACCCCTGCTGTCAGGGTCAATTTTGGAGAATAAAACCGCAGACTATACAAGCCTTTTAACGGTACACATAGTATAGCTGTCTTGTTAGTGTTGACAAATATTTCACATAGAGAGAATACATTAGTAGTAATACTGTTATCTTAAAAAAAAAGGGGGGAATATGTAGCTTTATCATCAAAATGAACACTAAAAACGGCGATAAATATTTTAATTCTGGATTTATTTAATGTGCAAATATTTGATTTAGCCATTAGCTGGTAGAAAACACAACCAACTGTCATGACTGTATGTGTTCTAGTGCTGGCGGGGAATACATAAAGAATAAGAAGACCACATATTATAGTTTAATAAGTCTCCTGGTGGGGTTTTAGTGATGTATTATGAAGTGGAATAAAACCTGAAGAAGAAAATACAATTTAAAAAGTGGAGTGATAAAAATAGGAAATCAATTACATACAAGAGGGTCTGGATATGGGGCGGGTTCTTCAATTCATTTTTTTATGCAATTTTTCTCTATTACATATACTTTTAGCCCATTATTCTCTATTCTTTATATTTAAGCACCTCATTATTCTCTACTCTTTATCTTTTTTTTTCCATTTTTGTCCATTCTTTATATTTTTGGCCCATTCTCTATTCTGTAAACCCCCATCCGCACACAGGCACCTTCCCAATGATAGAAACAAGTACCTGTGCATCCACACCATCCACACTCTCATACAAGGTTTTTTTTTTTAAATTTCGGTTTTTTATGGAGCAGGACTTTTTCTCAAAGAAAAAGGCAATATTCATTCGTTGAAATAAGTAACGGGAATGTTTTAAATAAAGACTTTTTCTCAAAGGCAATATTCATTCGTTGAAATAAGTAACGGGAATGTTTTATTACCGTATCACCATGGTGATACGGTCTGATTAGTCAGAGGCTGGACGTCTGGAATGTGGTAAATCTGTTAACGGTATCTCATTGGTTATAAATAACATTAAATGGCTGCATCTCAGCTGCTTCCGGGCTGCTTCTGGGGGAAGTGAAGG